AAGCATAGAATGGAAAATAAAAAAAAATAAAAACTCATGATTAGCTTTTGGTCTGCACGTGCACTAAGACATAGTGGTGGATGGATATCGTTAAGTTAGTTTTAAGGTTAAAAGCAAACATATCACCACAATTTGACTTATATATATACTTCAATACCTCACTTGGATTCATTATTAACAATAAAATGCATTGCTTTTATGGGTTTAATTTTGACCTCACACCGCCCAGGAGGGGCCGACAAAGCCTTGTGGGGTTTTCAACTACAAAATTCGCAAGTTGAAGCATGCGTTGCTCCATACGGACTCTGATTCATGTATTTTATATATATATATATAAGTTAAGTAAATGCAATATACAATTTTGGATTAGAATATATATGTCCTTGAGGGGTTGAATGCTTCTGCATGTATTGAGAATTTTGGACCATCTGGTAATTCATTTTGAACTAACTTTAACTCTTGTTTTTATTGTTGATAATTTAGAATATTTGGAGGATCTCTTTAATCTATATTAGAAAATTGTTCTTTTAAATAATTTCGGTGAATCAAATACTTTATCTTGGTGATAAACTATTCTAGCTACCTTTCATAAATTAAATATAAATTATGAAAATTTATGTTTGTTTATTATGTGAATATATAATTGATTTTATTCATCAATATTATTAGTTATGTTTATTAAGTGATGACAAGTTACATTTGTTCATCAAGAATTGCCCCATGGAAATACATGTTTTCATCAAGTATATAAAGAAATTTCTATAGAATTATTTTTACTGTTTTTGTTTTGAGAGTTTTGAAATTTTAGTATATACCATAAATATAACAGCATTTAAGAAAGTGATTTACACGTCTCAAAATTATCTCACTTTCTTATTTCATTCTCTAATTTTCTAACAATCTCAAGGCCTAATGTGCCTTTATAATCGCAAAACATAAAAAGTCTCTTTCCTTTAAATTTTCAAACATCCAAAAAAAAAAAATATATTTTTCAAGCATAACTTGTCGATCTCATATCATTATGGTAAAGATGGTTACAATTTATTGAAGTGGGGATCATGGTGCCCTAACTATGAATGACTTGGGATCATATATGTATTAAGATATCTCAAGTAATCTCACCTAACTTAAATTAAAAATTCTCTAGATTATAAAATTCATCATTAACTATCCATCCGGATTTAGCTTAACAGTTGTTTCTGGACCATGGGGATCATGGCGCCATCTAGATCATTTGGGCTAGGCTCCAAGAGTAAGAGATGGAACCAATACTTTGTATATTATATGCACCCCAAAATAGGAATCTAATGCAATAAATATTTTATAGCTTGGGCTTTTCAGTCGAAAGGCTCTTGTTGCTCCTGTAGCCTGATGTTTGTAGATAAATTTGGAGCGAAACCCGAACTTTGTTGGTATGATTTTTTTTTATATATATATAAAAGATCATGGTCTCGAGAGCTAAGAAAAAAATTATAGGCATTTAGATTTAAATTTTAAATTTAATTGATATATCATCTATTAAAAATAATTACATAAATCAATTAAATTAAATATCAAATTCAATATCCATTACCTTTTAAACATGCTAAATTTTTACTAAAAGCTGCCAACATGACCTTATAATTGCATAGCAAATTGAAGATTAGAACCATATTATAGAACGATATCTAACAGATTTGTGCACTTGTCAATTTTATTTTTTTTTCAATCTGTCAAACGTATCTAATGTTTTAATTTTGAGAGACTATCTACACTCCGCAATAATTTGGAGACCAATTACAAACATCTACGATGTATGTTATGAATTATGAAATAAAATAAATATTAAAATTCACCAAAAAAAAAAAAGATTGAATATGAAACAAAAAAAATTTTCTGTTAAGAGGAAGGCTACGGCAATCGCATTTACAATCACTTTAGAACACCTGTATACAAATAAAATAAAAGGCCATGCCATTGCCATTTCAAACTTAAAACCAACAACTGATAATCACCGGTTCTCTCAGTTTCCTGAGAATTTTGACTTTCTCTTCATCCTACCCAACAATAATTTTAGAAGAATTACTAATCAGTCCAAATAAACATTGTTTTTTTCAAATTTGCTATAAGGTAAAATAAATAGCCCATTAATGAAGTAACTCTGCAAAATTTTTCATTTATACAAAAATAATAATAAACAATCCACAAACTTTTGTATTTTTTTTTCTTTTTCAATAGGTTTAATGTGTAGAACTTTTTTTGTTGCTAAGCTCTGTTATTATTTTTTTTTCAGTGAAAAATCAAGCTTGAATTTAGACTGCCTTATGTTGTTTGGCTTAGATAATTGACTGAGTAACTACATAAGTTAATTATTTAGGTTTGAAAGATAATAAGATTCACTTATTAGAAGACCAAGGGTCCAACCGTCTCACTTATAAATTAAAAATCAATGATGAATTCAATAACTTTATTAGAAGTGTTTACTTATAATATATATAAAAAAAATTATCAATGAATTTATCAATTTTGTTCATGAAAAGAATGTCCATGAAAATTTTTGAGATGTTCAGTGAAAATTTTAAGTTAAATTTTTTATTGTTTAATTTTTAAAGCGTTCATAAGTACTGACTTTAAAGCAATGACATAGTGTTTGGTTTTGAGGGATTAATTAAAAGTTTAAAATTATACTTTTTTTTATTTGAGTTATATTACTATATATTTTATTAAAATAAAACATATATGCAATAATATACTAAAAAATAACAAACTTATAAAATCTTAAATTTTATTAATTCAAAATAAAAGTATAAGAAAATAAAATATAACAAATAAATAATTTTATTTAAAATTGTAAGCAATGTTCTTTTTTAGAAAAATAAAATCTTCAGCAATTAAATCTAAACTAAATTTTTTTTCTATGTTGATAACCAAGTTATCTATAAAAAAAAAAAATTATCTTCCATCTTATTTTATAGTTTTATTTTGATAATTTTCATAACTAAAAATGTCCGCTCAACTCATTAATTATTATAGATACTAAAAAAATTAAAATAAATGTGATTAATTTTTTAATGAGATTATATGTTTTTTATTTTGCAATTTCTATCAAAATAAGGCACGATTGTGATAAAGAAAATAAATTTTGATATTTCATATCATTGTGCATGTCATGTTCAAAATATTTCAATTGAAATTTTAAATGTAACTTATTTTACTCAGTAAAAACTATAATTAAAAAAGTTAAATTGGATTTTTTTAATTCACATAAATTATGTTTTAATATTTGTTACAAATCAATTGATTTTAAGTGTTTATTAATAATGATTAGTAGGTAAAATAAATTATAGATATCAATTTAATTTTAACCTTTTAATTTAAAAACTCTAAATTAAAAAAAAAGTTACAATATAAATTTATTTAATCGAACATACACATCCATATATGAATAAAAGGAAATTTTCAAATATAAGGCCCCTAACCATTCTTACCATCCGACCCTCCTTCAAAGGGTGAATCCATCCTTACAAGAAACCATATCAATACTCTAAAAGAATACTTTTAGACTTGAAATTGAAGAAAGATCTTCAAAAAAAAATTATGATTAAGATCGTTTTTATTTGTTTAAATCTGTTATAATTGAAGTTAAAGATAATATCATGAATGATTTTTGAATTACAATTCAATATTTAATATGTTACTTAAAATTTTTAATATAAATTTTAAATTATAAATATATTAATTAATATAATATTTAAAATTTATTTATCAATTATATTTAAAGTTAATGATGTTAAGAGTAAATAATATATTAATTAATAATTTTATAATTTAAGTAATATATTAAAAAATTTTAAAATTTAAATATTATATTAAATATTTTAATATAATTTAAGCATGATCGAAATTATTTATTATGAGGTGTCGCTCTATCATTCGGTTAGTGATAAATCTTGCTAAGTATTGGACTTTTATTTTGTTAGTTTTTGTCCATTCATCCTGTTTTATTAATTCAAAACGGGTTACTTGCTATTATTATAAGATGGCCAATTACGCGAGTAAACAAATTGAAACTGGCCACCCCCTTTCTCTGACTCGCCTAATAAAAATAAATTTGATTTTGCCCAACGTGTGAACGTAAGAACACAATAAAAAGAAATCAGATATTGGACAAAAATGGTGGCTGAAGCAGACTTACGTTACTTGCAGTATATGTTCTGTTGGCTGCGACATTCTGAGATAAAATTAAAAACATGTTTGAATATTGATAGTCGAGCGCACGTGTCATGGTGCCGAACCTTTGCCGACTTACTTTCGAGCGTTTGGCGTGACACATTCGGTGAGTGCAATTCAACCTCACACAAGTTGCAGACACCAGAGAGGTCGGCTAGCAGGATTTCATCGGGCGAGCAATGACGGGTCAACCTTGATTTTCAGAAACGGATTTCATGTTGTTCTTATGTCTATTCCATTTGAGAAGGGAAAGAAATTTCAAGAGATTTTTTAAAGAAACTCGGTGAGATCATTTGCTCAATTGTTTGAGTCATAAGGATTCGTGCGGATGATCTAGCAAATATTGTAGATACTCGTACTAAAAATGAACTGAGTTGCAGAGAGGAAATTCTAGTTGGGGACCAGAAATTTCAAAGAAAAACTATTAAGTAGTAATACCAAAAATTTCAGGACACAACAAGAACATGGTTTATTTGCTAATACAAAGAATACATCCTAGCTCTGACCAACATAGAACAAGCTATTCAACAAATCATTGGCTTACAAGTAACAAATCAAATAGAAAAGAAACATTACAAAAGAAAAAAACAATACAGTGTCCACAGAGATCTCCCCTTTCAATTCCTGTTTCCACCACGACAACGATCTTCGGAATTACATGGTCTGTTGTAACTGTTAGCCGGTGGCCTTTGGGGAAGGCAATTCTTTGGGTCACTACTTTGACAAGGAGGGGTGGTGTTACGAATCGGACCATAGCCAATGGACGTAGCCTAATTCTCTAGCGTAGATCGCCGTCGACAACATCAAAATAAGAAGGCAAAAAGCCTTCATTATATTGGTTACAGCCATTTCCTGACAACTCAATTTCGTGCTTCGAAGATTTGGAGATTCTGAGGGGAGGTCGATGGCAGCGTAGAAATGGGCAAATTGGGTGCTTAATTTAAATAGCCCAAAAAAGAATAAAAAAATTATAATGTCAGGCGTGATGCTAGCCTCTTACCTAGTTGCCAGCCGTACATCATAGACTGATCACTTGTGGACGGTTCTTGATGTAAGTGGTAAGTGAAACATTTTAAAGTTTGAATTTTTTTCCCTTCATAGAAACGTGAGTCATCTTCTTTGTTATTCCTTTGTCGGCATTCCCAATCATTTATGGTACGTGAGGCGGCCACCGACCTTAGAGTTTAGATATTTTCTCTTCCCCATGCCATTACGGTGTCACAACCTTTTTGGAAATTGGTGTATTTCCCAAATTTCCACTTGTCAATCCACAAATTTAGGTGGGGGGGGGGGGGGGGGAAGGGGCTGCGACGCCGATCATCAAGAAGGTCGGAGCCTGAGACTGGCGACTTCGATCCGTGGCCGACGTCGGCAGGTAAAAGCATACGGAAGATCAATTTAATTCTGAACTTACCTTCTTTTTCATATCTGGATCCGAAAATCTTCCACGAAGTTAGTTATTCGCCTCTGAAGTAGTTATCACTGCTTTCCTCTTCATGTCTTTTTGTTGGCCTTAATGTAGTACAATTTCTTTCATTTTCAAAAGTTTTCTCGAGAATTAATGATTTGATTTGATGTTTGATTTACCAGCAATTGTTAATTGTCAACTTTACATATTCAAATTTTTGTCATGGCTGCCTGACTGACTGCTTTAGGTCTGTGCAATGGTTTAAATTTTCCCAATAGTGCTGCCATGACAGAAATGGATCTGGGAATTGTGACTATATATATTTCAATTATTGGTTTCCCAGTAAATTGGTGGTGGCTTTTGTGTTGGATGATGACTTTGGTCCGGCTTGTTTTGAATCTTTGATTACTTGTAGAGACACAGGTTAGAATTGATTAAATGAGCGAAAAGTTCGTTTTATTTTTGTTGCTTCAATTACGTCTATCTGTAATCATTTTAATAATTATGTAGTCTTGCCCCCCATCTTGGTATCAGTTCTTTTTGTTGATAAATTACTGTTTTGTCTCTGTGTGGAATTCGCTTATAGAAAGCAAAATAAAATTGATGTCTCCAATCCTCTTCAGGACTTCTTAATGTTTGTTATGATGAGGAAGTCTGTCTCGGCGATGCTGACCATCAAATATTGATGATTGTCTGATAAGTTGGTTGATAATTCTTTGATTCCTTTTTTGGATAAGCAAAGATTTTTTATTTTATCCAAAGAGCAGCAGAAGCTGCTACAAGTCAACCGGACTGCCAGTGGCGGTAACAAACAAACCTAAGCAGTGATGATTCTTTAATTTCTGTTCTTTTCTTCTGTTGCATTTAAGCCAAAAGAAAGCATTAGAAGTATGAGGATGATCACTTCTTTCCTTTTGGTGAGTCCAGGCGTGACTAATTTTTGTATTTGAAGTTTTCATGATGATGAGTTCTATGGGGAGACAGAAAGCAGCCAGTGGGGGTCGGTTGAGAGAGAGGATACTGGTAAAGGAAGTAGTTCTGGAACTTGAAAGTGAAAGATGCAAAGAAGAAAGAAAGAGAAGCAGGAAAAGGGATTCTAACGAAATAGCACAGTGAAATATTGCCCCAAAAAAGAACAAAAAGGAAAAAGACTAAATTTATCATGAACGGAAACTAAAAACGGTTATCAAGTCCTATGAGAAGTAATTGCTTGTGCCCCTTGTGCCCGCAACAACAAAAAAGTATAATGAAAAGCATAGTTCACTGTTAAAGATTGAGTGATAACTCTCTTCATGACACAGAAGTGATGCAATTAGCAAACATCTGTGTTGCAGTTGCATTATTAATTGTCTTTCTTTATAACTTGTGTTTTCTACTTTCTTGGGATAGTTGCTTTGGATATCTATTAGTTTCAAGTTAGCATTGAAGAGTCTCCATAAGTTTCAAACTTGCATTTGTTATCCTGGTTTTAATGATTCTTCGGAGGTTCTCATTTTGGAAATTCCATAATTAAGAAATTCTTGATTTTGGGCACAATCTCTCTCTCTCTCTCTCTCTCTCTCTCTCTCTCTCTCTCTCTCTCTCTCTCTCTGTGACACATACGTACTGACATTTTCTTTTCAATGATTCCTTTTCAGTTTCTTTTTTCCTTTTTCCTTTTTTTTTTTTGTGGCTTCAAGTTGCTCTGGTTTAAAATGTTTATGATTTTAGTTATTAATGCTAGATTATTATTTTTTTTCCATATTTATCTCCCCAAGCTGGGTTTTTCATTTGCTTGTCTTGATTGCTGCAGATAAAGCCATCATAAGCTCAATCTTCTCCTTTATAATTACCGTAGAAAAATATTTATTTACAGTTGATTATAATTTTATAATTTGTATATTTATATTTATGTCTCTAGAATTAAGTATTTGTATCTTTAGAATTAAAGATAAAAAATTAGAATTAAGTATTTGTATCCCTAGAATTAAAGACAAAAAATTAGGATAGACAATCCCTCAATTATATGATTAGTTTTTTAAGAAAATTTAGTTTTCTAGTTTAACCCTTAGTTAATTGTATATAAACCTAAGGTTTTTGTATAATTATATATGAGCAATTTTTCAATATACATTCAGTTTTTACACTAATTTATTTCTTAGTTTTTTCACATGGTATCAGAGCTTTAGACTCTTTTTGAGAAGCAAAATTTTTAGCTTTCATTGCTAACTTCTATTTTAGGCCTTCATTGTCGAATCCTGTTTAGGCTTTCATTGTCGAACCCTTTCAAAGAAAGATATCACTAACACCCAATTTGAGGAAATGTTAACTGAAAAAATTATTGGAGTACTACAGATGTCTCGAAAACAAAGAGAGTTTGATAGGGAAGAGATTGAAAAGTTGAGAATCGTATTGAAAATCCTTGAAAAGCCTACTGTGGTATGTTCCTTGGGTAAGGTCTCTAGTTTAGGTAAAGCTTCTGGTTCTCATGGATTAAATATCTCGATTAAACCTATTACGAGTTCTTGGGTCATTGACTCTGGAGCCACAGATCATATAACACATTTCTTACAGAAGTTTAGTACATATACCTTGTATCCTAGTAAAAAAAAATTGTTATTGCAAATGGTTCACTTACTATAGTGGCAGGATTCGGAGATGTTCAAGTTAATCCCCCGTTTGTTTTAAAAAATATTCTTCATGTTCCTGGATTGTCTATTAATCTGATATCTATATAAAAATTTATCAAAGATATGAACTGCAAAGTGACTTTTTATTAAATTTATTGTGAATTTCAAGACCAGAGTTCGAGAAAGATGATTGGACTTGTTAAGAAGAAAGATGGATTATACTATCTTGAAATATCAAATAACACCAGTAATATCAAGAATAGTTTACCTTTGTCATTTTATTTTGAAAAATGTTCCAATAAAGATAAAATCTGACTTTATCATTTTCGTCTTGGACATCTTTTTTTTGGAACCTTGAGAAATATGTTTCTTTTTTTGTTCAAAGGATTAAATGTCAAATATTTCATTGCGATTTTATGAACTTGCAAAACATAGACGTATGTTTTTTTCAATTAGTAACAAAAGAAGTTCTATTGTTTTTTACTTGATTTATAGTGACATTTGAGGTTCTTTTACAATTTTTAATATTTTTGGTACAAGATGATTTGTTTCATTCATAGATGATTGTACCAAAGTCTCTTGGATTTTTTTACTTAAATCTAAATCAGATGTAAATAGTATGCTTTTAAGCTTCTAAAACATGATCCAAAATCAATTTGGAGTAAGAATCAAGAGATTTAGGTCTGATAATGCAAGAGACTACTTCAACCAAAGTCTATCCACTTATTTTTAAAACAAAGAGATTATCTATGAGTTATCTTGTGTTAATATTCTACAACAGAATAAAGTGACAGAGAGGAAAAACAGCCATTCACTAGCCACAACCCAAGCTTATTTTTTTCAAGCAAATGTACCTAAATCTTATTGGGGAAAAGCTGTTCTTATTGTCACACATATTATAAATAGGTTACCTTCAAGGGTTTTGGGATTTAAAACTCTTATGAAACTACTCTCATAATTTTATCCCAACCTTAATACCACAAACAATCTCATACCTAGGATATTTGGTTATATATCATTTGTTCATGTTCACAGTCATAACAGGAAAAAGTTAGATCCAAGAGAGATTAAATGTATTTTTGTGAGGTATTCTCAACTCAAAAAGGATATAAGTGCTATCATCCTCCTACCAAAAAATTTTATGTATCTGTAGATGTCACTTTTGAAGAAAATAAACTATTTTTTACTCAACTTTATCTTCAGGGGAGACTTCATTCATGGAAGATAAGGATAAAGACTTTTTTGTTTGATTTGTCCCCTTCTTCAATATTTACACCTATTAATTTTTTTGAGTCGAAACTTATTTTTACTGAACCCAAGTCAAATACTGAATTTGAGTCTAAACCTATTCCAAATACAGAATATGTGACAAAAGATAATATTGTTCTTGATTTTATGAAGGAATTACAAGTGTACTCAAGAAAAAAAGTTTCAGATCCTAAACCAATGCCAGTCCAAAAACTTGATCCTAACTCTGAAAATGAGGTAACTACAGTTTTTTACTCTATTTCTCAAAATGGACATGAATATTCTAAAACTATAACTAGTGATTATGATTTGCCTATTGCCATTAGGAAAGGAACCAGAGAATGTACTAAGCATCCACTATATTCAATCTTTAATTTTGTGTCATTTGAAAAATTCTCATCATCCTACAAAAATTTTCTTATGAGCATAAACACTATTTTTGTTTCAACTATATTATCTGAGGTATTATCCAGTGAGAAATGGAGGCAAGCCATGAAAATAAAAATAAAAGCTTTAGAAAAAAATCTGACATGAAAACTGGTAGAGTTGCCTAAAGAAAAAAATTTAGTGGGGTGTAAATAAGTTTTCACTGTAAAATACAAGGCAGATGGTACTGTTGAAAGGTATAAAGTCAGGTTAGTGGCTAAGGGCTACACTCAAACCTATGGAGTGGATTATCAAAAAACTTTTGCTCCAGTTGTCAAGATAAATACAGTTAGGATTTTGTTATCATTGGCTGTAAATTATAATTGGCAACTTCAACAATTTGATGTAAAGAATACTTTTCTACATGGCAATTTGGAAGAAGAAATATATATAAAGGTTCCACCGAGATTTGAAGGTCATCTAGAAGCAAACAAAGTATGCAGGCTGAAAAAGGTTTTATATGGCCTTAAACAGTCTCTTAGGGCTTGGTTCGAGAGATTTACCAAAGTGATGCTAGCAATGGGATATAAACAGAGTTAAGGAGATCACACATTATTTATCAAGCACTCTAATTCAAGGACAGTCACAGTTCTATTAGTGTATGTTAATGATATAATTGTAACTGAAAATGATAAAAAAGAGAGAGAATCTCTAAAACAGTATTTGATTAGAGAATTTGAGATAAAAGAGCTAGAGAGATTGAAGTACTTTTTAAGAATTGAAGTAGCTCACTCACGACATGGTATCTTCATCTCACAACAGAAATATGTGATAAATCTTCTGAAAAAAATTAGAAAGCTTGCATGTAAACTTGTAAATATTCCTATAGATTTTAATCATAAAATTGAAGAAGCTAATGAAGATGCTGCTATAAATAAAGAGATGTACCAAAGCTTAGTTGAAAGACTCATTTATCTCTCACATACTAGACTTGATATAACATACGCTTGAGTGTGGTAAGTCAATTTATGCGTAGTCCTAAACAAGTGCATTTACAGGCTGTTTACTATATATTGCACTATTTGAAGGTCAATCCTGAGAGAGGTATCTTATTCAAAAAAAATTCAGAACTAGTTCTAGAAGCCTATACAGATGCTGATTATGTAAGTTTAGTAACTGTTAGAAGATCCATATCAGGCTACTGCACTTTCTTAAATGGTAATCATGTGACGTAAAGAAGTAAAAAACAAAATGTGATGACAAGATCAAGTGTTGAAGCAAAGTTTAGAGCAATGGCTCAAGAAATTTGTGAACTACTATGGTTAAAGATTATCCTAAAAGATTTAAAGATCAAGTGAGATAAACCAATTAGACTTTACTGTGATAACAAGTCTACAATAAGCATTGCACACAATCCTATGTAACATGACAGAACAAAACACATTGAAGTAGACCGACATTTCTGTCATAACGATTTTGGGACCACCAGACGTAAAAGATGATGTTTTAAAATAAAAAAATATAAAAAAGAGTCATCATCAATCTTTGTTAGGGTGTGATTGGTCACACAAAAATTTATCTTTTTAATAAAGCTATAAAAACGGATTTAAAGTTTATCAAAAAAATAAATTTTGGTCTACGAAAAATTAGGTTGGGTCCAGGAGTCGGTTACGCGTGGGGAAGAATTAGCACCCTCACAACGCCCATAAATTGATACCATTTAATTACGTGCTATTTTCGATGTTGGATAAAATTGGTTTTAATTTGAAATTTAACACTAATTCCCTTCATTTGAAAAAATAAAATTTTGCTAAAAATTTTTATGTAGAACTATTGAGAAAATCTTTAAGTTAAAGAATTATCTTAAAATTCTTCAACATCCAGGTAGAATTTAAAATAACTTTTTTTGCGTAAGATTTAATACAATAATCCTTAAAATGAAATAACAATCTTTATAGAAAATAATTGTTAGTGACTCTTCAACATTTAGGTAGAGTACCAAGAATTATTTCTTTCGGAATGTTATTTTTATTTTATTTTATAACATCACAAAGAAAAAAAAATTTTAAAAGTATTATTCTTTTTTATTATAAAATATTTTATCATTGAACAGTAAATTAAAGAGAGAATAATGCAGACAATTATCGATGATAGCATGTTAACATATGTATGCTAATGAATGTCATGTAAAATGAAATGCAATTTAAGAGTTGGATTCTTAAGTATAATGAGACCACCCCGACTCTCCAACATCTAGGTAGAGTTTAGGTGCAACTGTTTATATTTAAGATCCCAAATTTTTTATTATACTTTTTATTTATTAATCTTATTATTAATGTGAATTAAGAACTCGTGTGAAAAACTTAATGAAATGGAGTTTCCTAAATACCGCATAATTTAGGCAGTATTCGGAAACAAACCATTTCATGTGAGATTTTCACACGTGTCCTTAAAGTTTTAAAATAGATTTAGGGTAAAATTTTAGGGTTTAAGTTTAGGGTTTGGGGTTTAATTAAAACACAAACATATCTAAAAATCTCCATCATCTAGGCGGACTTTTGGAGCAAGTTTAATTTTTTTATAATTTTAAAAATTAATTAAAAATTTATTATATATTTCTTTTTATGAAAATTTATTAATAATAATTTTTCAACATCTAGGCGAAATTATTTCTTTAGAAAAATATTTTTATTCCCTCAAACTTCTAGGCAAGAAAAATAATAAAAATTATTATTATTTAAATATTTTTTAATATTTTTTTAGTTATTATTTTATATTGTTTTCATTTTATTATTATTAATAACAATTAGATATTTATCGTAATAAATTTAAACATTTATCATGCATAAATATAAAATAACAAAAATAATAATATATAAAAAAAATTAAAAAAAAATTTTTTTTTACTTGAACCGAACCGATCAACGGTCTGATCAACGCTGGTCTGAGTCGGTTTGATCGGTTTGGCGGTTTGAGAGATCCGACGATTCGAACTGGTTCGCTGGCGGTTCGTCTGAATCGGTTCAAGGCAGGCTGAAGCGGGTCATCGGTCAAGTTACACGAATCTCAGATCGGGCTCGGTCCACGCGTGGATCCTTTACGCTTGAAACGACGTCGTTTTGGTCCTATGCTCAAAATGACGTCGTTTTGCCCCTATGTCTTCTATAAAAATTAGATTTTTTTCCTCAGTTTATTTCGTTTCACAGAAAAAAAAAAAAAGGTTTAGGGGTTCTCTGGCCTTGCCAGAATCTGGCGCCGGGTGCTACGTAGGCCGCCATGTGAGTCGCTATCACCGGTGGTCGTCGGTGATCGAAAAATGATCAGAAAGTCACTAGAAATTCTTTTTGACGCCTTCTTTCCAGATCCGACCTTCGTTTTGGCTTGAAAATGTCTTGATCATCGCTAATAGACCTTTAAAGTTTCCGATCTCTCTTTTTTTTCTTTTTTTTTTTTGGGACGGCTTGAACTAATGATTTCTCCTTCTTATTTCAGGTGGCTGTGGCGCTGAGGTTCCTCCCTACGAGGAGGACTGTGTTGTTTTTTTTGTTTCTATTTTCTTTGGCTAGATCTGTTTCGTTTTCTGTTTGGGTATTTTTTGGGGGGTGTTTGGAATTTGATTTTTTATGCGTCGGAATGGGGGTTTGTTTGGAGGTGTTGAGAGTGTTTTGAGGGGGGAGAGTTCCTCTGAGCTTAAGGGTTTTCGTGGGTAGATTTTTCTTTTCAGTGAGCATCCGAGAAAGCTTGAAAGGGAAATGGCTGGGGATTTTAAAGGGTTTCAATTAGGGGGATCTGGGTGGTTGTAGGGTGGCTGTAGGTGGGCTGGAAGGGAGCTGGTCAGGGGGCTGACAGGTGGCTAGACAGAGGCAGCAGCGGCGTCGTACCAGCCCCTGGTTTTTGCCTCATTTCTCTTCTTTTCTCTTTTTTCTTTTTTTTTCTATTTTTTTATTTAATTTTTTAATTAATTAATTAATATTATTATTATTATTATTATTATTATTATTATAAAATGGGAACAGTAGACCCAGACAAAATCAATGTCTACAATTTCATAAAAGAAAAACTAGACAGTGGGTTGATTTGTACACCTTATGTATCAAACCAAGGGTCAACTTATAGATGTGTTAACTAAAGGTCTCAACAGTGCAACATTTCAAGAAATTATTTTCAAGTTGGGAATGGAAAACACTTATTCACCAGTTTGAGGAGGAGTGTAGGAAAACACTTATTTATAACTGATTGTAATCTTGTAATCTGTATATTTATATTTGTATCTCTAGAATTAAGTATTTGTATCCCTATAATTAAGGATAAAAATTAGGATAGACAATCCCTCAATTATAGGATTAGATTTTTAGGAAGATTTAGTTTCCTAATTTAACCCCTAGTTAGTTGTATATAAACCTAAGGTTGTTGTATAATTACATATAAGCAGTTTTTCAATAGTCATTCAGTTTTCACACTGATTTATTTCTTAGTTTTTTCATAGTTACAATGGCTATAATTAACACAGGTTTATTTGCAGCCGAGCTTGATATTTTCACATAATCTCTTGGTACCTTTCTGCCCATGCTTGAAATGTAGTTATTGATTCTTGAGCATGCACTTAAATTGAAATTTGCAATAATGTTTACTATCTTCCCTAAAGTATACACTTTTTTTTTTCCTTTTATGCCAAGTACAGAGTCAGTATTTTAAAATTTTATGCTTTTTTGTACTCAGAAGCTTCCCCATTAGGGTTGATTCCAACCATTTAATCTTTGCCTTTATGCCATTGATAATAGTAATCTGTTTAAAATTTACACATGAAAGAAAGGGCAGCATTTCAGGATTGGAAAGCGAATCCTGTGTCATGTTTCTTCTCTTTTTGAGTTGAATTTTGGACCGGACTGACTAGTTCAAGCGAATTGAAGACCTAATTTCAGTGATTTTGTTGTTGATATCATTTGGTGAATATGCCTTCAGTTTCACTGTGCATGTGCAGCCCTTTAGCCTTTGGTGCATGCCATAGCTATGCTGGAAATTTGGTAATATCGAATTCTTATTGCATGTTTTTTCAGGATTTAAAAAATCTAAAAAGAAAGGTATACACAGCAGCTGTTAACAGCTTTACACCAATGGTGACCAAAAGTGCTTTTGAGTTTTGGTGTTTTCATCTTTCAGTATGGCAATTTTCTTTCTTACCTTTGTTCAGAGTGTAAGTGTAGGGAGAAAAAAAAAATTCATGCAGAAGCAGCAGAAAAGTTGAATACGCATGCCTTCAAAGTTCTTGTGAATGCTGCTGATAATTTGGATTTCATTGGACACGAGGTTTCTGTAATAGAGATTCAAGAGTCTTGCATTTAGCAGCAAAAATGGACAGTTTTCCAAACTTACATCTATAGAACGTAACTTTTCTTTAAAATTTTGCAGGACATATCCTACAGTTATCCCTTATCTGTACAAAGTTTTGCTGTGCAATCTCCAGCATCACCAACCAACACCCAAGTTGCAAAAACTTCATTCTGTACGAACCGGCTGAAAAAAAAAAGGACAAAAACCAAGTATGGTATCATAACATTTCTTCATGTTTAGATCTTAAAAACTTAATATGTAAAATATTCAACAGTTTTGATGGTCACTTCCTGCCATGCAGTGACAAATGAAAGGAAAAAATGGATCCATGAAATCAAGACATGAACGTCAGTAATTTGTATTTTCCCTTTCTTTCGACAGTCTGAAATAATCTGCTACCTTTTCTTCGGCTTGATTTGATTACAACTTTCTCAGTAATTTTACTTCATATAGAATCATAATCCTTAATGAGTTTTTAAGTATATATTCTTTTTACATGATCAGAGAACTAGAATCCCCAACCTTTCTGTACTGATTAAGATTTTATTAAAACAAAAAACACTTGATTAAAATGTTAAGCGGATGCATATTGTATGATTGCTTAAATCCTCAATGGATTTTTTAGGATATATTCTGTTCGTCAGATAACTTGAATCTCTAAATTTTCTATAATGATTAAGATTTTTTAGTAAAAACACTTGACTGAAACTTTAAGCGGATGTACATTACATGATCGATTGAAAACTAAAAGCATAGCTCTTCAGTTGAAGCAACTGCTTGGACTTTAAAATTTGTTTTTCTATATGTATGAAAATTTGATGTTAACAACTCTGACTCTATGTTGCTTTAGTTGCAAGAAAATCTTACTGTATATATTAATATTTGAATCAATCATACTTTGGGAAATAGCTGCAAAAACAGTATAAAAAACTCCATAGAGAAAGAAATTCGTTGGCTTCCACAATTTAATGACTTATCTCACTTGTATACTTCTTCCACTGCCTAGAAATAAATTGACTCATGGTCATTTTTTCCTTCCATACAAGACAAACAAAAGGAAACAATGGCATCAAGACATCGACAGATCATGTGACTGAAACTTTAAAGTGTTTGCAGCAGGTTTGTGGAGGATATCAAAGTATCTGGTCCACATGTGAGGTTTGATCATCCATCATGAATGTCTTTGTTACGTGTTACTTTTGTTATTTTCAAAACAGCAAAACAGTGCTTAACAAAATATAATCCACTCTTCCTCTTAAATTCAGTTGTACAAATATGTATATTTTGTTGTCTATATTTGTACTTTACCTATAGAAGATATTATGCTTATCAACAAATAATAAGTTCAAATGATAAAAAAAAATATTCTTTTTATTATTCATATTTAAATTTATTAAAAATTTATGAGAAAATAATTTTTTATAAATTTATTAAATTCAATGTATATAAACTTATTTAAAAATATATTAAATAAAATTTAAAAATTTTATTTAAAAAAATATTAATGTTTAATATTTATTTATCTCTAAACATTCAACCAAAGCAAAACCACGTCAACACGAATATTACCGTATCTAAAGGTGTACTTAAAATTCAACAATGTCAGTCCTCAATTTAAAAAAAAAAAAATAAGAAAATGACTAGAAAAATTATGAAATTTAATTCGAAATCGTGCGTGCCACTGAATCAGAAGAAATGCGCCCCCACGAAAAAAAAAAAAAAATCACCGCCTCCGCAGCATCATATCTAAGACTATATGTCTGTTAGTCCCACTAGTTCATTGGACTTATCAGACATCTAGTCACACAGTAACCTACCCCATGCGAAAAATGGGTTCCACACTCCAATCCTTAGCCGTCCGATCCCATTGATCATCAAAGCCTTCCCTAGTTCACACCAATAATATTTGAGGACAACAACTTTTTTTGTCCCTACCTGCTTTCCCACAGCGAATCATTGATCGGTCACGTGGAAAGCAGGTCGCGGAAACCAACGGTGGATGATGCGTACTTTACCAACAAACGGCGTAGATTGTGCTGAACGTCGAGGGAATCCAGGGGATTGTGACAGCGCCGCCAAGTTGTCTGACATTTGTCGTTAACGGACGATTCTCCGTGAAAATTTTCCGTTTCGGATAGTTCCTTGCTAATACGAATCTTATCTATAAAATTTACTGAATTGATACCACGAATACCACTAAGAAAATTAACAAAAAAAATTAATAGAAAGTATTTTAAAATTAAAAAATTAAATTACAAATTTGAATTCACTTTTTTTAAATCACATGTAATTAGTGCTTAAAAAACCTCATATCCTCAATATATATTTTTTGAACTTCAAATCCTCGTTATTTAGTACCTCAGATAGATAATCACAATCCTAATACTAACATTACTGATAAGTATTACCGTAATATTTAAAACGGTACGGTTCTTAGCCATTAAGGAACTACCTTGTTGTACTTAAGTAAATGTCTGAGTGCCTACACCATATCTAATCTTCACTAAATCGCCCTACCTTTGTCGAAATTCCAAAATTGCCCTCAATGTTTCTTCATAAGGACAAGGGTGCTGACGACCTCGAACGACGAGACGCACGGTCCGGTTAGGCTCGCACCACAACGCGCAAAGGTCATTTCTTCTTTCGCGCTCAACAACCCCAATGGCTCATAGCTGGCAACCTCCTGTTGGGGCAAGGAAAACTGCATCAAGGACAAAATAGACAATTCAAAACACAAAAAATTAATTTGGCGAGCTAATGTCAATAAGAGGACTGCCGTGGTAGGCCCGTTCCACTAGGAAAAACGAAAAAAAACTTTGTTAATTTCTTTTTTTTGAAGGAATATTAATTAATGTATATTTTTCCAAGCCTAAAGCCTTCGAATTTCTCCATGAAATTTTAATTGGACTGTTATTGTTAAATTCCAATTTTACCCACAAGCCTTTGTTAGGATATAACTCGAATTGGCCAAACGGTGGCGTTTTGGACACTTGATAATGATGGACAATCTAGTAATTTGGAGTCTTTTTTTTTCCATTTTTTGCCCTTTTTCGACGGCCAATCATCTGCTGTTCTCAGGTGCGCTTCCGTTCGAAGCTTACATTTTTGGTTGTCCTCAAAATTCAGAAATAAAAAAGAAAGAAAAGGAGAAAGATTTTCAGATGATTTTCTTCGTTGCTGAAAAATGGAGTCCAAAACCCTAACGATTATCAAAGCTCGAAAACAGCTGTCCATGTTCAACTCTCTCCGGTAACTCCTCTAGCTATTTCTCACACTTCCCTTCGCATTTTCTCGCGCTTTCTATCTTTCCAAGCACATCCTTTCATCATCTGCATCTAGTTCGCTCATCTGTTTTCGTTGGTTACTTCTTTAAGAACTTCGATTACGATATCGCTTTTCATTTTTAAAACTCTTCTAACTCCCGATTGTTTATTTGATTTAAAAAAAAAAAAAAACTACTCATTTCCGTTAGCGGATGAGTTCTTTTGATTGTGTTAGCTTAAACGTGGTCTTTACGGTGATCAACACTTTGTTTAAGTTGCTTTAAACAGTATTAGAAGCTTTTTTAATGATGAAAGTTTCAATTTCTTCCCAATTTTTCGTTTTGTTAACTTTTCCAAGCTTGTAATAACCCAAACAGAATAAAATTAGCTGCTGAAAATTTTCTATTGGGTTTTTTATTTTAAATTATTAGTTGTAGTTAGAATATTAATTACTGTATCTGTAAATTATAAATTAGAAACATTTCAGTGCAGGCATACTCTCCGTTTATTTATTTTTTGGCCTTTTTTTTCTACGGCTAAAATCCACTTTAAAGAAATAGTTTAAAATGAATGAAGACTGTTCCAAGCACGCTTTTTTCCATTCTTTTGTTAGTTAATTAATTTATAAATATTTTTTTCTGGTGTAAAAAAATGGTTTTTTTTTTTGCTTTTAATGTTTGGTTTTCGAGAAAATGTTCAATAAAGGGGAAAAATGGGGCCGTTATTTGTTTTTCCGCTCCTTTTTGTTGAAGAGTAAAAGGGAACTAGTTTAATTTGTTGCTGCTTAGTTGATTGTTTTTAGTTGTTACTATTTTCCTTTTTTTTTTTACTAAGCGTTTTAATTGGTGGTTTATTTTCAGGGGGATGTTTCAATCGGCTAAAGCATTCCATTTTTTCTTGGTTCTGTCATGTACCCTTTTTTGCTTAACTACATGTGAACCATGTTCTGTAAATGGGATGCTGAAAATGGAGGAATATGAGGGGTGTGAGTACTATGGAGATAATCATCGTACTGGTTTTCAAGAAACTATTGTTGGTGATACAAATTCTGGCTATGATACAGGAACTTCTATGACTCGTTCAAGTGTTGAGAGTATCTGCAGTGATACTCATTCGTTCTGTTTTCCTTCAACATTGCCCGGCTTTTCAACTGAAGAGAGTACACTTGAAGTAGACGGTTTAGAAGTTTCTAGGAGTCAGTCTGGTAGTGCTTCATCTTATGTAGAACCAAGTAAGCTTAGGGGGCAAGCAAATAACAAAAGTTGGCTTTCTAACCATGGCATGTTTAAATTATTAAATGGAAGGATGGTTTCTTGTTCTTTAGATTCAAGAGCTGGTATCCATGAGTTTTTGTCCATTGTTACAGGTGGTGCTAATCTAAATGATATTTCTTCGTGTAGAGGACCTTTACTAAGTCAGAAGAGTACAAGTGTTAGGATGAAAAAAAACAGAGAGGTGGCAAAATTAGGTTCTTTTGATGGTTTATCTTCACCTAATGTAGAAATAAGTCCCCCTATGATGGATTGGGGACATAAATATTTATTTTTACCTTCAGTGGCTTACTTGACAGTTGCAAATACATGCAACGACAGCATTTTAGAAGTCTATGAACCATTCAGTACCAATAGACAGTTCTATCCCTGCAATTTTAGTGAGCTTTTGTTAGGACCTGGTGAAGTAGCTTCAATATGTTTTGTTTTTTTACCTAGATGGGTGGGCTTATCATCGGCTCACCTTATCTTGCAGACAAGCTATGGTGGTTTCCTTGTTCAGGCTAGGGGGTTCGCTGTTGAGTCTCCATATGAGATTCAGCCATTAGTTAGCCTGGATATTCCTTCTAGTGGACAGTTGAGTAAGAATTTGTCTTTGTTCAATCCTTTTGATGAAACTGTCTATGTGGAGGAAATAACTTCATGGATATCAGTTTCTCTAGGGAACATTACCCATCATACTGAAGCAGTTTGTAGTATAGAAAACTCCCAGGGCTATAATGGGCACAGCTTACTTAGTGCTGAGGATTGGTTGGTCATGAACATCGGTAAATCTGGTTTTCCACTTATGGCTATGAGGCCAAACAGGAACTGGGAGATCAATCCTCAAAGCAGTGAGACCATCATGGAGATTGATTTATCATCTGAATCAAAAGGAAAAATTTTTGGTGCTTTCTGCATGCAGTTGGGGAGGTCCTCGCAAGAGATGTCTGATATAGTTATGGTTCCTCTTGAAGTTGATTTTGACAGCAAAGCATCCTATGACAATCATGCAAGTTCTCTTTCAGTTTCTCTTGATGTTCTGGTGCCATATGATGGCAGTGAAACTGTTTTTGTGGCCATCTCTTTGAAAAATGCTGCTCCGTATGTGCTGAGTGTTGCCAAGATTAGTGAAGTTGCAGATACAAAGGTTTTCCACATCAAGTACATGGAAGGGTTGCTGCTTTTTCCTGGTGCTGTTACGCAGGTTGCTGTGATTACTTGCACTAAACTGCCAGTTGAAATTCATGACTATGCTTCTGAAGTATCCAACATGATCAGAAGTTGTAAATTGCTTATAATGACAAATGAATCTATTGGCCCTCTGATTGAAGTTTCTTGTGAGGATATAATCCATATTTGTGTGAAACATCAGAAAGATTCATCCATGGCTTATGAGCATCAGTCTGAAAAGGTTAAATCCGACCATATAAGGACAGTGTCCTTGGATGACGGCATGCAACTGGCATCATGGGCCAAGGTTTGCTTATTTTATTTAGGGTGACATAATTTGGACCATCAGAATTTTTTCTTCTTTGTATATGTTTATTATCTTGATGATTGATACTCCACTTCTCTTTTATTCACTTAAATTCTTACCTATCATGCGAATGTTATAGAACCTTTAATCTTATAAAGTTCCATGATGATGGCTCCTTGGCTAGGGAAGATAAATAAGATCATAATATTCTTACCTACCCATTTAATGAGGATTGCTCCTGGGACCATCAAAACTGTTTCTTCTTTGTAAATGTTTATTATCATGCTGACATCTCTCTCTGTCACACTTCTTTTGTTTTCTCCCCTTTCTGTGTTCATATATTCATACACATGCACACACACACTTAATGGCTTTTATGATATCAGCGTTAAGCTTTAAGTCTTCAAGGAATCATTAATATGCATAAAAGATTCAGTGTAGCTAAGTAGGTCATGTGACTATATATGTAGGTGTTGCAGACAGCAGAAGCAGATGAATTGGTACTTATGAACTGGAAATCTCAAGGTACCATAGGTGGCATGTCAGTGCTTGATGATCATGAGGTACTGTTTCCAATGGTTCAAGTCGGAAGTCACTGCTCCAAGTGGATCACTGTAAAAAATCCTAGCAAGCAGCCAGTTATAATGCAGCTCATTCTTAACTCAGGAGAAATTGTTGATGAGTGTAGGAGCCAAGATGTTTTTATGAAGCCCCCTTATGGTAGCTTGGCTCATAATTCATCTACTATTCCAAATAGATTTGGGTTCTCCATAGGAGAGAGTGCACAGACAGAGGCCTATGTTCATCCGAATGGTAGAGCATCTTTTGGGCCAATATTATTTCACCCTTCAAATCGTTGTGGGTGGAGAACTTCGGCACTGATAAGGAACAATCTTTCAGGTGTTGAATGGTTATCTTTGAGGGGATTTGGAGGGTCAGTTTCTCTAGTCCTGTTTGAGGGTTCAGATCCCATCCAGAGTGTAGAATTTAACCTTAGTTTGCCACCTTCTCTGAACATCTCTCCTCCACAAATGTTTTTTAACATGGAGGAGACTACTTATGCATGTTCTCGACCATTTTCAAAAGAGCTGTATGCCAAGAACACCGGAGACTTGCCGCTTGAGGTAAGAAGCATTGAGGTTTCTGGGACACAGTGTGTAGTTGACGGTTTTATGGTGCATAGTTGTAAAGGTTTCTCTCTTGAACCTGGAGAGTCAACAAAGCTTCTGATATCATACCAGCCAGATTTTTCAGCAGCTATGGTACATAGAGATCTTGAACTGGCTTTGGCTACAGGCATTTTTGTCATACCCATGAAGGCAACTCTCCCAGTTCATATGCTTAATCTTTGTAAGAAATCAGTGTTCTGGATGCGGCTAAAGAAACTCTCTATCGCAATTCTTCTTTCTGCTTCTTTATTGTTTCTCATATTCTGTTTCATTTTTCACCAAGCGATGGTCTTGGGCTCCCAAGATTACTTTTACAAGAGTGAGAAGAACCCAATCAGTACAATCAGGACTGGAGGAAAATCTTCTCGCGTCAATTGTAATCAGAAAAACAGTAAGTTTTCTATTTCAGCTGAAATGGATGGTTTGTTAAGTTCAGTTGGGAATGCTAAATCTTTGAAGGAGCTGTCTAATGTTGGATACCCAAATAGCCAGGTTAGGGCCAAGGAACAGGGGTTAACTGATCAAAATGCAAAACTAACTCAGGAAAATGACAGGGAAATTAACAGTTTCTTAGATCCTCAGAGGGAAATTTCATTGCCATCTTTGCCCTCAAAATCTGCAGTGGCTGAAAATCCTGATATAAAGGAAGCCCATCAAGCTGTTAACCTCACAATTAGGATTGGGAAAGAAAAGGGAAGAAGGCGAAGGAAAAGAAAAGGTGGATTTAAAGAATTGATTGAAGTGTCAAGTAGTCAAAGTGGAAATTCTACACCTTCATCCCCCCTCTCCCCTATAACATCTGTAACACCTAATCGCACATGGTCACTCTCTCCTGATATGTGCCAATCTGTTGAGGCTAGGAACCCTTCTGTACAATCAGCTGACCAAACATGTGGGAAGGGTAAAGTTTCTGAACCTATTTTCAAAGCAAATGTGTTGGGTCCTAGGGTTTCCGTGGAGCATGGTAGCAACAATTGGTATTCTTTGATACAAGAGCAGTCTACATTACCAAGAAAAATTGTTTCAAAACCTGTTCTCTTGCCGTCTGCTACTTTTCCTAGTGCCAGAAGGGCTACCCCCAGTATGCCCAGCCCCTCTTCTTCTTTGGCTTCAACATCTGTTATTGCTCCTCGGGCTTGTGCTCGTGCTCCTGGGTCCAAACTCTCTGACCAGAAAACCACAAAAGCGGGTAGAAAGGGTAGACTGGGAGATGAATATACATATGATATTTGGGGTGATCATTTTTCTGGACTCCATTTAATGGGTAGTTCAAGGGATGTTGCCATGAATTCCAGCTCTACAGAAAATGACTCTGATAGTTTCTTTGTAAGGGGCCCACAAACCCTCATGAAAAAATCTCAACCAAGATTTGCAAGTTGTTTCAATCAAGAAGGGTAATAATAAATTACTTGATAACTGTTACATGTTTTGCATCCCTAAAGTTATTTTCTTTTCTGTTATAAAGGTCTAATGCACTGATAATACTTGTCTGTATGTGTTTGCTACATACATACATGCATACTCATGCATGTTCATTTTTGCATGTACATACAGATGTTACCTCATGGTTACTATTATTTTACTGTGTTTTCCATCTAGTCTAGATTCCTCATTCCTCCAAGATCACCCTGGTTTTCTGCCTCAACTTTTAGAAGAAGGTCTCACTTTGCCTGCTTGTAATTTGCAAGAATTTTCCTTCTTCTACTGATAAGCATCTGATATGCGGAGTGGTTTCTCACACTAATTATTCTTTTGAGTTCTATACTAGTCTATTCTTCTCTGTTGATGTGCGTGTCTCTGTTACCCTCTTTTATGTGTTGGCATGTGTCTCAGTTGATGGAGGATAGCATTTTTATTGGCCTGGGAGGATAGCATGTCATTTGCCTGTTCTGGACCTTCCATTTATCTATTTAGGATAGCCTCTGAATTGTAGGTTACTGAAGACACCTAGCCTAGTTTTTAAAACCTTGGTTATAGGGCCAAAGTCTGAAGTTCAAATCTCCACAACTGACTCATAGTGAGATTTTTTATGTATCAGAAGTGGTATTCTAAAAGTAATCATTAGGAAGCCGAAATGTTTAATACTGGATGATGGTATATTTATGCTGTCAAACTGATTAAGCGTAACCACTTCAAGAAATATGTTTTTACTTTTATCATTATAGGAAAATATAGATTCCTCATTTCATTCCAGGGCTGGCATCAATTTGAGTCTGGATGTTTGGACTTTTACATGTTTAGTGATTGTTTCCTAGTAGCAGAATATCAACTGAATTACTTTGATCCTGGTGTGTTTGAACATTTATTTGTGTGATTTGCAGATATACAATGATGAGTGCATGGTGGGTATGAGTGTGAGTTAGTAGCTGAAAAATGAAGTTAAGAACTTCTTTTCTTTTCATATGCTAGAATTTCTGATGTCTAGAGCAGTCTACTTGTTAGTTCTAAAGACTCATGCTCATTGATAGACTAGAGTGCTGATCAACTGACCCTTAACCCTAGATATCGAATCTGTAATCCTTGTGCATATCCCTTTATATAGGTAATATGTCGTTCTTGTCAAAACTTTTACAAACATTTGGTACACTTTTTAAGCTTTCTTTAGCCGTACATTTTTTCCCCTCATGGAAATGATCATGTTAGCAGGAAACAACAATTAAGCTATTCTTTTGCCTTTTTATCCTTCATTCCTAGCATCTGATTCTGTAATGAAAAAGCTGACAGTTGCCATGTACATGTTTACTCTTGGACCAAAAGTTTATTGGAACCTGTCTCAATAAAATTCTATTGAAATTTCTGTTTTGTTGTAACTTAAAATAATAATAATAATAATAATATGCTCCAATCATCTCTCGAGAGCATCCAATATTCTATACTGATAAACTGTTTGCAGTTAACCGCACTAGATGTTTCTTTACCTAGGTAATATAAAACTTTTGACATGACTGATGGTGTGTTTCCTTGTGTGCATCACTGCACTTCATAGTACAAGGCATGCATACTTTTTGTGCTGCATGCATTTAGAGGATAATGGATTTCTGACAAGGCATGCACACTATGGTGGATCTCTGGATGTTAGTATCCATGACTAATGCTTATTTGAGTTCATGGACGTCTACATTGTGCATACATTTCTTATTTTTTAATTTATTTTTTTGATTTACTATATAATACAAAGAAATAAGTTTGTGTGTGTTATGACTCTAGGAGTAGGAACTAGTAATAGAACTAATTTTTTATTGTCTACTGAATTTAGTGGAGGGGACTTTGGACGGGATAAGCTCATATACTTCCATCATTAGTTACTTTTACAAACCTAAATGTATCAAAGTGATTAACAGACTTTGAAATAATGCTCAAAATAGCGCTATACCAGTTAGTTCTGATGAGTTAATTACTTGATACATTTTACAGTAAATTTAAGATTTTACTCCTGATTGTTTTAGTTCTGTTGCCTGCTTGTGGATGCTACTGATAAATTAACACTGGTTGGTTGATCCAATGAAATTGATGTGGATTCAAACATCCTAAGAATAAAGTACTTCCACAAAGAATGAGGTAGCTGGAAGTAGAGTCTCAGAAATTGATGACTGCCTAAATGGGGATGAAAAGAAGCTGTAGGCACTGGGTAGTATTTTTCTGTAGGCTGTAGCCATGCTAAACTATGTGGCCTAGACTGCTGCCAAGACTTTCATAGCAATGCTAGATGGTCTGCATTTGTTCCCATCTATGTAGAATAGGCCTGTATTCAAGGTGATGTTCCTCATTTGTTCTCATCTATATTTTCAAAACCATCATAGATTAGTTGATAATATTTCTATTGAACTGTTTCTATTAGCAAATTTTAGGATTAGCTTTGGGGCTAAAATAGGTTTTGAAGGATTGTGTCACAAGTTTACTCCGAGTGGAAAGGCATGTTATATGAGAAGGAAAGTATTGGTTCAAATTTAGATTCCAAGACCCTCATTATGGCAATTATTGGGGAAAACATTGTTTTTTAATCTTGTTTTAGTTACAGAATTCTGTGCATTAGGATAAAATAAATAAAGAAATTGATCACATGCCTCTTGAAATTCTTGATGTATTTTCAATTTCCATTTGCTTTCTGTTGTTAAATTGCTTTTACAGCAGTCTAGTTTGTTTCTATCAACAGAATTTGTCAACTGGGTCACATTGAAGGGGTTACCACACTTTGCTGTCTGTAACATCACTACCCAAAGCATGCTAGTCATCTGTCGATGCCTGCTATACAGGCACACACAAGTTAAGAACATTATCATTGCTAGGTAGGCATTCGTTATAAAGAAAAAAAAAAAAACCGTACTGAATGTCGTAGCTTTCTCATTATAATGATTCTGAGCATTGAATGGATGGAAAGAAGGTGAATTTTTACTTGTTGAGAGAATGATGTTGACAAGACAGGAGAGGGTTTTGTTTTGAGCCGGCAATGGAGCTACACAAGGACAAGATGATTGTGAACCGAACTGTATTTATCGGGAATTTCGGGGGACCATATTTTGTTTTTGGTTAATTTTGTTGTAAGAGCTGGCGAAGCCAAATTGTGATTGGAAAGTTCCATCACCAACCCAACAAACAAAATCGAAGCTCCTAATCATTTCTTTTTCTTTGGTGGTTGTCTCCTTCAGTTTATTTTCTTCATCTGTTTTCTTTCCAAGTTTTATAACTTGTAAAATACCGAATATGGCTTACTTACTAAATGGCGCAAGCACATGAAGTTCTTTAGGTAAATGCTTGTTTTCTTTCCAGTCTGTTAGCTGGTTCTGGCCCAGGGTATGTTACCCGTCCAAGATGGTCCAGTTTTCTAGGTGCTAATTTGGACCACGACTACAGCCAATGGGGACCGTGACCGATCGGGTTTTTCTTTTTGGGGACCTATCTATCCGAGTGGGATGACATTGCTATTTGGATGTCGAAAGTACAAATATACGAACTGATCTGGCTGGTGTAATGGTGTTCTACTTAATAGAACCAAGAAATTGGGGCTTTATCATCAAATGCATTCAATTCTCCATTTATCATATTTACCATTTTTTTTTTTTGTTGAAAAAGCTTGAAAACGTTGTAACGGAATTGTTTGGTCCAACTCAAGCTCGCCATGTCCCTCGTAAATTGGTTTCCGCCTTTTAGTCATGCACGAGGATCACCCATGATTTTGGTTCGCCAGCTCAATCCAGCGGCAGAGGTATCCCTACGAAGGACCCATTTCCCTGTTCCTCCTCACCCACCAATTCCCTTCCAAATTAAAAGACATGAAACCAAAAATTGTTCAGCATCCAATTTAAATTTAATTGGTAATAAATAAACGAAAAAGTTAAATTTGAATATAAAATCGCAAAAATTCAAATTTAAATAAATTAATTTAAAATTAATTGATAATAAAAAGAAAATTCTAATTTTAATAAAAATCATAAAAACTCAAAATTTAACAAATATGAAAAAATATCAATTAACGAAAATAGTGATACAATCTTTATCAAATGTTCTTTTTCACGTTTTTTGGTGCAATCTGATAATAAATTTCTCAAAAATGAAAAAATCGATGTTATTTCCAATTGGTCACCTATACAATGTCATGTGAGTTGCTGCCAGAAAGTTTTCTAGCCATGGCTTGTCCTACTTCTTAAAATTAGATTTTGATTGAAAATTTAAAGCCTCGTTTGTCTGTTTCTCATATCAAGATCCTACGAAAAAGAAATATATATAAAAAAAAAAAAAAAACAAGTGTTGGAGATATTAAAGAACCAATTATTTCTAGCCTCACAACGAAAATGGAGCTCCAGTAGAGAATCAAACGCCTCTTTGTTTGTTCTCCCAATGTTGGAGAGGACTGGACGATAAAACCATATTTTCCTTTCGCATGTGGATCTGCTTTTGCCCTTTTTCATAGACAGCATCAAACTTCAGCATTTGTTCCACCTTTTTCCCTTCCTCACCACCCCCTCACCTTGCAATAGAGCATAAAATTCCATTGTGGGTCACCCTCCCCTTCTTTGCGACCACCGAAAAGACAATTAAATGAAGTGTTAGCTTGGGAGTTGGGCCCATCTCTTGCATGATTTAAACTGAAGACTTGCCCATCTCTTGCATGATTTAAACTGAAGACTTACCTTTAGACTTTAGTTCTTTTTTGTTCTGAATCTTGGGAGGGTGTTTAAGCTATCTTATTCTATTCTATAAACCATAATTTTTAACTAGAATGAGAGAAATCAGCCTCTTTTTTCTTTCAATAAAAAAGTTGGATTAGTCTTGTATTAGAGAAATGCAATTAGAATCTAGATTTTTAAAGTACACCAATCTTTTAATTTGGCAACCTTAAATTATTGGTGATCAATCTAGACATGTTTATGTGTTAGAAATTAACATTTCACCTAAATACTAATAGCTTAACTTCCAATTTTATTTATTTACGAACCTCTTCAATCTGATTTTTAGTAAAAGATGAACAAATAACAAGATAAATGGTGAAATAGAAAATGTGGGTGTTAATCCGAAATTTAACTCAATTAATTTATATAATAATTTTTAAAATATTATATTTAATAAATCTATCATTCAAATTTTAATATTTATAACTCTTTTTTCTATCATTAAGTTGCAACATTCTTTATATAAAAAAGTATGATTCAAGGAGGCATACAACGATTTCAATGGCATAACACATAGCTTTCATTTCACGGTAATAAAGTATTTTGATCTAAATCGAATCATTTGAAACAAAATGAGATATATTCCATTAAAAAAATACTAATTTTTTGTGAAAAAAAAAAATGACAAACATTCAAATATTTAATTTAATAATTAATGCATAATTTTTTACTCTTAACTTAAATATAATTTGAATTTTCTCTCAAATTAAAAAAATAAAAAAATAAAAACAGTTCTTATACCATCTCCAATCCCCATTTAATCAAAGCAACCCTATAATTCTATCATCTAGTTTAACTTATCATTAGCTTGACTAAAACAGATTTGAAAGCTAACATTAATTAAGCTTTGATTAAGAACATTATTTGCTCAATATTTTAAGGTAATAGCTTTGTTTCTCCGACAAAAAGGCTGTGCAATAATGACCCATGAGCCACTAACCCATAGAGAAAAGAAACTCATAAGTGAATTGAAGAAGAAATTAAAGGAGATGGAGAGACAAAAAGTTTGGTGCACTCACCACCACCTTCACAGGGTAGGAATTGCTGAATGGCTGGATGTGCTTGAAACCACATCAACACTCACGTGCTCCCTGCTTCTGCTAATAAAAATTATGCTATAACTGCACTCTATCCTTTTCTTTTTTTTTTTTTTAATTTCTTCATTTCTTTTATATTTTATCATATACAATGCCTTGGGAATGTCTCTCTCAAAGATTACTTTAAGCTGCCTTTTAAAAAAAAAAAAAATCTTCCTTTACCTTTAAATAATCCATGTACTGTTGAATTACTTCTTTTCAATTTTCACATCTTAATCACACCAAGTAAGCTGACGGGTTCTTCAAAAATATTACAAAATCTTTGTTAAAAGGGGTATTATCTATGTTTATTAAGTTTAAAATTTTCTATAATTTCTATAATTTTATACTCAAATTAAAATTTTTTACTTATAATCAATTAATTTTAGATATGACATTCAATCTGATATCCAATCTATTGTAAAACTTTTGCAACTTACTTAGAAAAGTTTAGCTCCAAAAATTTTATTTTAATACGAAGAATTAGAATGATATTGCACGTAACAGGGTTTATCTTATTATTTTATTATTATTTTTTTTTGGATAATTGTTAAGAACTTCATTTCATTAGTTCAAATTACCCTATCAGGCATGGCGGATGGATCACGTCTTTCTACTTGATTTTGCCATTTCCTCAACTAAAACAAATGAGTCAACAAAGCAGTTTTTTGAGTACGTTGATGGCTATTTGTACAATATATTAATATTACTATGTTTACATTTCTCTCTTCGTTTCTTCAACAACAATCATTCCCCGTAAGGGAAAATATCTAATTTGTCATTAAGTTCTTTAGAGCCTTAATAAGTAACGTCTAAATCATATTTTCAAAATAAAAATACTTTCAAATTATATAAATTAATTCAATTAATTTAAATAATTATCATTTAATAAATTTATAATTTAAATTTTAATATTTATAATTTTTAATTCTCAAAAATATAAAATACTATTAATTATAAGGTCATATACACAATAAATTTATGAAAAACTTACGAAAACAACCAAATATCAATGAATTATCATGTTTATATCAATGTCAAAGTAACCAAAAAGCAAAGGATTATCAGTTTACTAATAAAAATATAAAAAATAAAATAAAAATAAAAGTGAAGTAATTTGAAGGGTACGTAGCCGCGTGAGGTGTTCCCCGCATCATTAATAAGCACGTTGGGTTGCTTAGTTAAAAAGGCAATTTAATTAAAGCCCTTTATTAAATTTTATCCGACTGATTTTTATCATTAATTTGGACCTTAAAATTAACTTACTTAGCTACTTTATCTGTAATTGGTACATAGTATAAAGTTCTGTCAAGAAACGAGTTGTCATCAATTATCACATGTGCTCACTGCTCCTTCGCTATTCCACTCAACTTTCACCTTCCACTGAGAACAAACTAAAAGTGACATTAAAACCATATAAAAAAATTAAAAAATAAAAAAAAATTATTTTTTGGTAAAAATAATTAATTAGTTACTATAATTTTAGAAATTATATTTGAATAATAATAACAAATGCATGGTATTGGTGAGATACGTGACATTTAACATTTTTATAAAAGAGAGAGTGGTTGAAAGATTAAAAAAAATTATAAAATATTATTTTTAAAAATAATTATATATATTAATAAAACAAAACTCCAAATTCATATATTTAGCATTTGAGGGTATGATTGAATATGTTACTTGTCTCTTAATTTTTTTTTAATTAAAAAAAAAAGGTCGATGCATCAAGGGAAGAAAATCTAAAGTTTAAATTCGATTCACATTGATGTCCTATCTTTCAACCGTAACACTTGCAATAGGATTAATATCAATTTAATTTAGTGATTATTGATTAAGCATTTGTATCTCTTGGTAAATAAAGCAAGATTTAAATCTCTTCTCCAATATATATAAATAAAACAACTCCTTGCCCAAATTCTTGAGTATTTATCCAATAAGGGCATTTTGAGTACTACAACTCAAAAATAAATATAAAATAATTTCAAAGAAAGGGCAGATGACAAAACCAAAAAAAAAAAAACTTATCAACCTGAACAGGAAGAAGAAGAAGAAGCACTAAAACAAGTGGAGTACAAGTGCGGTAAGCCAGTGAATGACTCTCGTCTTCACTCCATCACTTCTTTAATACTAACAACAATTTTGTTTTTTGAATTAAAAAAGAAACCCATTTTATTAAAATATTTTTATTAATAAATAATTTTGTATAGGTATCGGTTTTTGCATTATTTTGTTTTGGTTTGTCCATCTGTTACGCTGTTCTTGGATGGCGCTTTTAAGCTCCAATCCTCGTCGCTTTCTACCTTCTTCTCTTCATCTCTTGTTTTTGCTTCTTCACCCTTTTCAAAAGCTTTTAAATTAATATAATAGTAAAAAACTTTTATCTATTTTTCACTATATAAAATAAAATACTTAAATGTAAAACTCAGCATGTACATGCAGCCATTTCTGTTCCTTGGTCGCTTTACTTTCAAGTTTCCCGCTCTATAACTTAGAATAAACAAAGGGATTCGAAGAAAATTCTTTTCTTTCTCTATCTCATCTTTTCTGGAGTAACTTTCACGGTTTCAATGGCTACCTTGTTTTCTTACTTTTTTTTTTTTTGGCATTGCTTTTTTCAGGTCATGAAATTGTTAGTAGTAGCAAGAGTGTAGATATTGTTCCATTGTTGGTTTGTTTTATTTTAGGATATTGATTCTTTAAATAAAAAAAAAAAAGGAAAGAAATTAGGATGAATACGAGTGTCCGCTCCGCCTTTCAGTCCATGAAAGCTGCATTAAATCAGGACTGCAATAAGGTAACTTCTCTCTTCCGTCTTTCCTTTATTTTTTCATTTTTATTTTGACCCTTTATTTGTTTTCTCAAGATTTGAAGATTGGGTTTTTGTTAATTGTTAATTTGAATGGCCAAAGATTGATTCTTGGGGTTTAAAAGTTTGAAACTTTGAAGAAAATTTGGATTTTTATTTTTATGATGCTAAATTTTGGATTTTGTTTTGTTGAAAATTTTTGAATTGTTTAAATTAAACTTTTTTTCGGATATTATTGCTTGTGTCATAAAAAGAAAAGTAGGGAAGCACTTTTGATCCAAAATCTGAAGTGGGTACTTATACTCGTCTCAAGAAAAGAATAGTGTCTTCTTAAAGTTTCTCTTTCAATTATTTCTTTCTTTGTCTTTTTTTTATTCAGTGAAGTCTATCATTTTTTATTTTTACTTTTTTGTGATTAAACAAAGAAGGAGAAGATGGAGAAGAGTCAGGGAAGCAGAGCACTTGGTACCGGCAAAGCTGTAACCAATCGGCGAAGATCAAACAGGGAAAGGAAAATGGCCTTATTACAAGATGTACCCACAATTATTCACCTTTTAATCTATTCTATTTATTTATTTTTTTTTTTGCATATTTTTAATCGTGGTGGTGTTGGTATAATTTGCAGGTTGATAAGCTAAAAAGGAAGCTTAGACATGAAGAGAATGTGCATAGAGCTTTGGAGAGAGCTTTTACTAGACCTTTAGGAGCACTTCCTCGGCTTCCTCCTTACCTACCTCCCTATGTAAGTGTAACTCTCTATTCTTGTAATTTTTTCTTCTCTTGCTTTCTGTTCAATCAATATGGGACTATAAACAAGCCTGTAGGGAAGATGAGAAAGAATTAACTGCATGCATGCTACATTTATGGAATTGTTTAAGGAAGAGATTTTTTGTTAACTTTTCAGATACTTCAAAATTGGAAACTTTTACATGCTTTATGTAAATTTGATTTAGAAAGTGAATTGTTTTTTTGTTTTTTGGGGGGCGGGGGGGGTGTGGGGGAGTGTAGACGCTAGAGTTACTTGCTGAAGTTGCTGTTTTGGAAGAGGAAGTTGTTAGGCTTGAAGAGCAAGTAGTGAATTTTAGGCAAGGGCTTTATCAAGAGGCTGTCTATGCATCTTCCAAGAGGAATGTGGAGAATTTGAATGAATCCATTGAGCAATCTCCTGTGAGAAGTTCTAAACACCAGCGGTCTAAGTCTTTGTCCGTAAACGAGATGAGTTCAGTAACAACCATTGCCAGGTCTCAACCATCTCTTGCCAGAAGTGTTTCTAGCAGAAAGCTGTTGCCCCCAGATAGTATTTATGATCGAGCTGGACAGTGCTTTAGCAGGTCAACAAATGGGAGACAAGCTTCCACAAAACCCAATTCTACTTCTGGAGATATAAGAGGAAAAGAAAATCAATCATTTACCAATGCTGTGAAGGATAAGCGATCTCCAGAAAAGAAAATTTCCAAAGTTGTGACCCCAGTAAAGAGACTGACAACCAAGCATGAATCACCAAACAAATGTTTGGATCCTCTGAAGGTGCAGGTATGAACCGATTTCTGGTTAAAAAAGAGTTGTTCTCTACTTCATTACAGTTGTATAAATTCTGGGTTTTTTGACTGTCCAGCTAGATGGTAGATTAGTAGACCAGGAAAAAGCGCAAGAAAGCCCTTCTGGTTCTTCAGATGATAAACCATCGGAAGCTGATAGTACACCAAACAAAATATCTGAGGATACTGTAAGGTGCTTGTTTAGCATTTTTGTAAGGTTGAGCACCTTGAAAGACAAGGCTGTGGAATCTGGGACTTTACCTTCTCGATCAGTAGTCAGTTCTCATGAAAGAAATAGAGAAAGTGAATGCCCAGACCCTTATGGTATCTATTCAGATTTGAAAACTAGAGATATTGGCCCCTATAAGCATCTTTGTGCAATTGAAGCTAATACCATTGATCTGAATCGAAGTACAAATGCTTTGTTTCTGATCCATAGACTAAAGTAAGTATTTGGTTGCTTGCTCTTGCTTATATCTTAATTAACATTTCTATGCAGCCTATCTTTATGACAATGATTTCAGGTTTCTACTTGAGAAGCTAGCCTCTGTCATTTTAGAGGGTCTTAGCCATCAGCAGAAGCTTGCATTCTGGATAAACACTTATAATTCCTGTATGATGAATGTAAGAATGTTTATTTTGATTAAAATTTTAATACATTCTGGGATCAAGAAAAGTTTGCCGAACTTAATTTAATATGCAAAAAGCAAGAGCATAACACTTACGCAATAAATCTGTTAGGCAATTTTGGAGCATGGGATTCCCGAGTCTCCTGAAACAGTTGTAGCACTAATGCAAAAGGTTTGTTTCATCCGTATTTCTTGTTATTATTTTTATTTTCTTCTTCCACTGGCTGGTGGAAACATTTAATGATTTGCCAAGGATATTCTATGCTCATCACAAATATCTGAAATTATTGAAGCTGCCAAAAACACTTAGCACTGCATTTGTTAGCTTTTGTACGTGTATAACCCTCACAATATTAGACAATGGTTGCTTCATTTGAATTACGTTGACATCAGCTTTTGGACAATTTGACTAAAATTTGTCTATGTTTACGGCTGCCTCAGGCTACAATAGTTGTGGGAGGACACTCGCTAAATGCAATTACAATTGAGCATTTCATATTAAGGCTGCCTTTCCATTTGAAATTTGTAAGTAAAATTGTCTATGTTTCTTGGATATACTATTGCGGGAGAGAGGATTGATCTTTTAAGGCGAATTTGATATTGCTAACTGATTATCCCTTTTCCCTCTTTCTATTAAAGACCTGTCCTAAAGCAGCAAAAAATGATGAAATGAAAGCACGCAATATATTTGGTCTGGAGTGGTCCGAACCCCTGGTTTCATTTGCTCTTGCATGTGGAAGCTGGTCATCTCCTGCAGTAAGTTCACTTCAAAATCAGTCTACTTTTGTAGTATAGGGAAACATTTACAGTTTGATAATGCTGTCTCCAGCTGTAGAGAAAATCACTCTACTCTTCAGACTCTATGTTCTAATAGGTAATAATGCTTGATTGAAATTTTAGATGATGATCATCAGCTTCATTATCAAAATGCCATCTTAAAAGGAAAAAAGATACTTACAAAATGACCAGAACTCCCCTCCACCACTGCCCCTTCCACCTAAACTCTCAAAGGAATATTTGAGGTTCAAAACATTCTGATGGTTAAAAATGCTGCCTTATAATCCTCTATGTAAATGAATATTATTTCATTTTTTTTTTTTTTGAAGTGCTGAAATGCCAGTTTTGCTAATGAAGGTGAGAGTATACACAGCATCTCATGTTGAAGATGAGCTGGAAACAGCTAAGAGAGACTACCTACAGGCAGCAGTTGCCATTTCAAGAACAAACAAGTTAATAATTCCAAAGCTTTTGGATTGGTATCTGCTTGACTTTGCAAAGGATTTGGAATCATTGCTGGATTGGGTTTGTCAGCAGCTGCCAAATGAACTGAGGAATGAAGCAGTAAAATGCCTAGAAAGAAAGGGGAAAGTGCCTCTTTCACAACTAGTGCGAGTAATGCCTTATGATTTCAGTTTCAGGCTGCTTTTACACCCTTGAGAATTATATTTCGCGATTGACCCGTTGGTCAGCAAAGGTTCATGAACTTGGGGTTGGTGAGGTCTATATACTGAACTACTACTATACTGGACACAGTGAAAGTACATATGTGATTAGCATCTGTAAAAAGAAAGTGGGGGGGGGGGGGGGGTTGGAGGTGAGTAACTGGTTTTACTTGCAAATATGGATTCTGGGCTTGGTGATTGGTTCATTGAAATTGATTTTTCAGAGTATTCATTTTTGTGCCTTCATTTTTCTCTTTCAATTAACTTTTAGAGGACATTGGCTGTGAATAAAAAACATGAATTGAAAGTTGCTAGGAGTTTATTTTTGAGGTTGACCAATTGATGCAAAATTTCTCTTCCAACAAAGTCCTTGTAATTTCTTTTCCAAGGTCTTGTTGAAAAGGGATGAATGCAAAGGTCGCGCCAAATTTGTTCCATAAATCCATAACCATGGCTATTGTTATTGTACCGAATGGCATTGGGAAACCGGCAAAGCGACAATCCTATTTCATGTAGTTGAAAGAACCCAAAGAGAAAGTTCTGTTGCTCTGGCCCTGCTGTGTTTTGTTGGCCAGCAGGCAATGTGAAACCTGATCCCACCAATCATTCATAGATGTTTTCTGTCCTACTTCATCACGCGCAGTATAGACAGACTAGCACCATTCCTTTAATATAAACGAACATCCCACGCGTATGAGATGAAAGGAAATGCTAATTTTTCTTCTGATTGAAAGACAAAGAAATACGACAATGGAGGTGGTGAATTACTGAATTTTCAATGAAACGACAATGACGGTTGTGAATCAAAGTTCGTTTAATTTTCTTCTGTACTAAGTTGGCAAGAATGTAACATCCCCACACTGATATGTCAACATTCATTTGTGGCAGTTGGTGGGTGGGCTCGTTCGAACGAATCCTTGTACCAGACTGTTATGTCAAACATTCATTTCAGACTGGAATATGAAACGCCAAATTTTGTTTGCATCCATTTTTCTTTATATTTAAATGCTAAATACAATCAAATTAAATTGTAAACAAAATTATTTGAGATAACCAATTGGATAATATCATCATTGAAATTTATAACATTTTTAAAAATGTTATGTCCGAAATATTTTTAATATTTTCGAAAATTTATATTTAAAAAGGCTAAAATTTTTTGAAAATACAAATCCCATAAATTAAAAACTTTCCGAATATGTATTTTTAAAAATATTAAAGTTTTTTGAATATGCATTTTAGTATGCCAAATAAACAATATTTACGCATGTTCATTTTTTAAAATTATCTACATATACGAAATTTTATTCTTGTAATTTATCCAAGAATTCGAATGTGCAATTTTTTTAATGAAATTCCACAAAAAATCGTGACTCAAAACACTTGATCATTTTACCTGCAATTTTAGTCGCAAAAAGTTTTGTTTCCATATTCCACCTCCATTTTCAATGTCCTTTAACCTAAGAGAATCAATTTGTAATTTCGATTTTGTAGAGGTTGAAAATGAAGTTAGGTTTTATAGAGGGTGAAAATGAAATTTAAAGTTTATGAGGTCTGATTGGAAGCAGATTAATTAAATGTGTGACTGATGGATTTAAAAGTAATTTTAACAAGGATATTTAAGTAATTTACTTTATTGGTAATTTAGTCATAAAAATTAATTTTTTATTTGTTATGTATATTAAAAAAAAAAAAAAAAAGGCGCTGCGGATAGAATTTCCTATCTGAAACACCAATAAAAAATTTGTTTATAATGGGCATTATCAGCAAGGTATATTACAAACCGAGGAATTGGTATGCTGTTACTATTAAGATTTGAATGTGAAATATTACAACAGAGGGAGGTCCTAAGTCACATCAAACAAATGGGGGCTCAAGGTGATTTGAAAAAAAGATAGGGAGGAAAATGAAATCATATACAAACAAATTCAAAGAAAGAAATTATAATATATCTAGTGGCCGCTGCTAGCTTCTCAATGATAAAGGAACCAAACTTTGGAAGGCATCAAGACAAAGTGGAGATTTCTATAGCAGAGGCATCTGCTTATCTCAGCCAAATGGAGAAGGAACTGGGCCTGCCCCTCCTAGTGCATCTGATCTTTTAATGCTTCCCATACCACAGATAATGCATCCAGGGGCTGAGAGAGCTGAAAATTTGGCCCCACAAAGATCACAAACATCATATCCGATAGTAGACAGACGACTGAGAGTGGCACCACAGAACTGAGAGGGATCCTCCAGTGGATCAATGGACTTGTTGGTTAAACCCCTCTGAACACAAATGTCGATCAGGCTCCTCAATTCCTCTTGCTTACCTGGAGGTGCCTTAGACAGGAGAAGTTCAAGCATCTGCTTGGCATAAGCATAATTCTGAACATCCATATTTCGTTTTATGGCAGTGCGAATGCAATTTATTCGGTGCTTTGCCTGTAGAGGCAAAGAACCTAGATGTCTAGATAGTCTAGCCATCTCATCTTTTGCACTAAGTGCTCTTGGGCCTTGGACTTTCTGCAACCTTGTAATTTCCTGCAGGAGAACCAAAGCAATATCCAGTCATGAATAATAATTTTATGTTTGAACCTACAGAATAAAGGTTGAGGCTTGGGACTTTTAAGTGGGCATAAAGTAAGTAAATGCTATTGGTAAGCTTAGCATATTCACCACAACCATTTTGATTCTAACTTTTGAATTTATGAATTGTGCAAAAGTATTATCGTAAATTAGCATAAGCTACACAACTTGTTACATGATTTAACTACATATTAAAATGCTGAACAATGGTCCATGTACCCAGAATAGGTACATTCTTGTTCCGTAGAGATCACATATCAGTTCATTTTATGATCTCTACTACCATGACTGCAATGCAAAGACTTTGGAGTAACACCCGTATATAATGCAACTGCCCTCAAGTACTGATGAAAAGCATTATAAACACTAGCAAGAGCCTAAACAAGATCCTAATCATGCTATGTGCATGTGAAATGCAAAAGCAAGGGCAGAATCGTGATAGATCACAGAAGAGAAAGAACATTCAACCTAAATTGATATTTTCAAAACCTGAAAGAAACTTATAACTCTTAGCTCCTAAAACAGTAGCTTCACTATTGAATATTTGGCTAAAACAAAAAGCTCACACAAGATGATAAAGAGCTCAATATTTGAAAAATCATAAAATATCATCACCAATCCCTTTTATGTTTTAGTCTTTAGTAAAACTAAATCTAAAAGACAAATGCTGTTATTTCTCAGACGCTTGACTCAAGTTATAATTCATTTGGTGGCTGGAAAACAATGACGTACCTGAAGAAGAGTTACTGCTATCTTGTACTGAGCACAAATGGTAGCTTGAGCTTTAATATCAGCTCCACGAGAGTTATCCTTAGCCAGTGCAAGAAAAGCTTCATCAAAACAGGATAACGAATCTGGAAGTTGATTCTGCTCAAGGTGAGCAAGTCCAGTCTTAAAACATATAGAAGCTGCTGCCCCACGTGGAACCTACCAAGAGAGAAAATATGGTAAATTAAAGGACACAGGAAACTACATAATAAACACATCTCCAGAGAATGACAGAAGTAGTAAGCTCCCAAGACACAAGGACTGATTATCGCTACAAAGTCATATGCCAAAAGAACCTCCATTCCTAATACTGTTAGAAATGATTTTGTTTTTTCCAATGGCAATAAGTTAGGCAACTTAAGTAATCAGAACATACAGCTATGTTTATTAAGTACAAAATTCAAGTTCCTACCACAATCAGGAATGAAAAGGAACAGTGAGAAAAGATAACATAATGTACATATTCACCTGTCCAGGGCGCACAGATGCTGGAGCAGATGCAGAGGGAGTAGGTTTTCCTGACTCTGCAGAGTTTGGAACTCCAAGAGCACTAAGATCAAGAGGCTGTGTGGATAGTGGCATCAAAGCAGGCCGAACTTGAGGCTGTGGCATACCAGCAGCTGAAGCTGAGTATTGTGGAGGAATGCCGCCATCAGGAAGTGCAAAAGACTCTGGAGGGATAGGTCGTTCAGTGGCTTGAGGTGGAACCCCACCATCAGGGAGGCCAATATCAGCTGCAGGTGCATTTACCTGGTCAGGTGGTACCTTTCCACCAACTTCAACCTGTCGAGAAGTTTGATCCAACTTTGAAAGATAAGTTCCAGGAGGAGGCAAAGCAGCTGCAACCTGGAGTGATGGTATTGTGTTTTGGAAAAAGTCTTCCGGTATAGGTCCAGCAGCAATTCCCACACCTTTGGTTGCAGGAGCTGATTGTGATATCGATGCAGGTTGTACCCATGAGTCAGTGCCAAAGAGATCTCCAGGAGCAGAAACTGTGGGATTAGTCACAAAAGCACTGGTTGCAGGATAAGGTTGCTGTTGACTCTGACCAATATCCTGAGAACCACCGGTCAATGATTTTGTCCTAGTTATAGGTAGGCCCAAGCCATCACCAAGTCGCTTTGTTGCTTCTTTAATCTTATTTACATCCACTGTGCCTGATGTCGGCTTGTCTCGTATTCTGATCTGTAACTTCTTAGTTTTTGATACTCCCTCCTCATCACTGCTGCTACCATTATCAGCTGTGCCATACATTGTTTTCTTAAATTCTTCTGCAGCTTTAGCCTGTTCATCAGCAGCAGTGGAACTGTCATTTGGTTTGATTAAAGTTTCCAGACCCATCAAGGAATCAGCCTTGGTTTCACCACCTGGAACTCCTTTAGAATTATCTATAGATTTAGACATAGAAGAATGGACTCCATTTGGCCTATTGTTTCCTGTTGCAGGTATAAAGGCCTTGACCAAGCTACCTTCCCTTACTTCAATAATGTTACCTCTTCCTTTGATTGAACCAAGGTAAACACCAATATGATCTGTGATAATTGATGGAATGGCACCATCATCAGTCTTCATGTATGGCATAACTTCTGCAGCAAGCTCCCATTGAGGTATACTCTTTAAGTTCGTAGGGGTCTTGATTTCCCAGTTTCCACCACCCCATTCAGGTCCTTTAGGAACCATACTTTCAGCAGCAAAGTTGGCAAAAATGCCTTGTGTCCAACCACTTGAGCGGACTCTTAAAATCCTTTCACAATATCGCCTCAATTCTGAATCAGCACCTTCTTCCTCCAGCCTCTGAGCAAGACGCCGCATTGCACTGGGGTTGAGGTGGCATATAAACAGGTCTATCATGCTTTCGTAGTCTGCTATGACTTCAAAAGTTTCCTTTGCACTGTCATACTGACCGTACCTGCATTTTAAAATTTGAGTCTCATCAAAGCAAAATTGAGACCATATAATGACAATTCAAACGGTCATGAAGGCTCATCGATGTTAATGGTTAGAAGATCAGAAGATGCCTATATATAATGCTCTTAATAAAGATTACATAATATCATGAGAATAATTCTAACGACAGATGCTTAAACTTAGACGCATAAAAATACTTTATACGTTTTGAACTTTTGATAAAGATCTCAATAGGCATAGATAACTTTAAGATAAAGATCCATTTGGCACTAGATATGTAACCACAGCAAAAATATGTAGTCATCTATACCAAAATTATACCTATGGAAGATTGGTATGAATACTAATTCAAATTTTCAGTACACTGCTAACAATCAGAATATTTTAATCTGAACTCTGAACCAGAGGCCAGCACATAAATATCTAGAATGATATATTACAAATTTAATCTTCTGAAAAATAACCAACATATCCACTTCTTTTATCAAAGACTATCTTCTAAACCTTCTAAAAATAAGATTATTGACAAGTTCATTAAAACGTTTATAAAACCCAGAAACACAGCAGTGAAAAAGATAGAAGTCAACGGCTGTGACTGCTTACTTGATACAGGCATATCCCAATTGGCGAAACCGTTGGAACAAATGAGAGGTTGGTGGACATTTTGGATAATCTCTAGAACGTGCAAACTCATCCTTCAGAACAGATAAAGCAGTAGAAAAACGAAGTGCTTTGATTGCGTAGACTCCCCGCAGCACCTAAGTTTGTTTTATAGCAAGTTCAGAACCAAACGTAAAAGGGGATTTTAAACATATACATAATAAAAAATTATTCATTACCTGAGTGAACTGAGGACCTGTTTGGGATAATGATACTGCAAGATCTCCACAAACAGGAGGACCTCTAGCTAGAATATCAAGAGATCGAGGAGTGATACGTAAGCTGTCAAACCTTAATAAGGAAAAACAGTAGAGAAGTCAGATACCAAGTTTCATGCATCAATCCACTATGGTAAAGCTAATGCAAAGATAATAACTGATAAAATACCACATTTTACACAAAAAATGAGCAAGACTTCAATCAGATAACGTTAGCAAAAAACATAAAATATATACAAAAGGGAGAATGAACCTTGATGTTATTTGGTATAATATCTCAGAAAGCTCTAGCTTCTGCTCAAAATTTTGTTGCATGGTAGCAAAACCAATAAGAAGAGGTTCAAGAAGCCCAATAAGGCAGCTCTTAATCTCAACCCCCTTCTTTTGTCTGGGATTTATATCTGTAGGGTTAGCTAGCAACAACCGGTCATTTAGAGCTCCAACCAGAGCTGCAGAATAGAAAATCATCTCAGTAACTCCACAATCTAATGATGCAGCACAGAATTGTACTTGATACAATACAATGGTGTACAAAGCAATTGAAAATGAGAATACAAACCTGCATTGGGCATGCTAATGGAGAGTACAGTCCTCACTTTCCCATCCCATCCTAAAATACAAACTGCAGTTGCAGTAGAAAAAAGAAGTGCAGGTCCAACCCACAAAAGGGATCTAAAGTGCGCATGAGTTAAGCAGTCAAACAAATTTATTAATCTTGACTCTGTACATTACATACATGTATTAGTACAAGCATGCAGGAAAATACATACAAGAGTAACCAAATATTATTGATAAAAGAACCTCTCTTCCCTTAAAAGATAAATGAGGGTAGAATTTACATTAGTCAAGTCCCGACAAATATTTTTGGCTCAGACAAAATCAGTGTTATTCCAGGGGGAAAATGATAGGAAGAAGCAAAACAGATAAAAGAAAAACAAAATAAAAAGAAGAAGATGCTAAGATTATATTCCAACCAGCAATCACAGCTAGTGGATGCAGGTATTATTCCAAAGAGAGTCATAGAAACAGGATATTGATTCATGAAATAGACTTTCTCTGGTACTATAAGGAAAAAGATAGATCTTCTGTTGCTATATATTAGGTACACCAACAGGCCGCCTAAACATGTGTATACTTTTACAAGCACCAATGCACACAATTATTCTCTACACATGTAATGTAGTCATGCATGCATGTATGTACTTTGGGCTAAAATTATGCTGCATGATGTATTTAGGATATTGAAGGATTTCCTTTGTCAAATTTAAAGGAATTGCTTGCAATTACATCAAGATCTGCTGAAACCATAAGCACCCTGTAAGTAGTTAATACTCCTGCAACATAGCCTCTTGGAGTTTCTTGCCAATGCACCTGCAGATATTGGAATACAACACAGTTAAAAATCCTAGCATTAGCATATTATTTTCAAGAAAAAGAGCAGTCAAACTGGATACATTGGTACATATTTTATGCACAGAGATATAGGTATACATAGATAAAAGAATAATAGATATGTATGTGTTTGTGTATGTATATATATGTATGTATTCAGCACCAAGAAACTAATACATTCTTTTTCCATAAAAATGCTTGTTTCATAAGCAGTTGAATAGACCAGTCAAGAGATCTCAGTCATCAATGCTATTTGATTTCATCAACATCGCTTAGATAAATATAGCAGTGTTGGGATCTTATACAAGAAAGAATATAGTCAGTTGGCCTCAAGAACTCTGTGTTGTGTCATCTTTTTTTTCTAATACATTCATGATAAGAATCTGGCATTATATGCATGCTAAAATAGATTGAGGTTTCATTAAAATTAAGTGAAGAATTAAAAAGAAAGAAAAGGCACAGGCCTTTGCAAGTCAAAGTTTACAGGGGAACCATACAAAGCGGACAGTAGACATTGTATCAGGAAAAATTAGAAGGAAGAGATAGTTAACAAAATTAAATCCTTTATTGCTTGTAGTTTACATTATATATATATATATATATATATATATATATACACACACACACACACACACATAACTACAATATACTTTATTATGACTTTTATTCTAATATTTAAAAGACTTTCATGAAATAAGCACCTCAAAAGTTATCCTTAAAAGTTGAATTACTCACCTGAAGCACAATCTCATTTGCTTTTAACCTTATAGACTTTTTCCCCTCTGTTTTTGTTGATATATAGTGACCATCAGAAGTTGAAAGATGGTAGCCTTGAACCAACTTTGCCAAGCCAATCTGCTTTCCATTACAAGAAAACATCAAAGTGGACTCTGCAATCACAGAAGATATGGATCAGTATCATGTGCTACAAATGGTGATATTCTTTATGAAGAAAAATATGCACCCAAGCACCTATAGGAGTTGAAAATATACGATCAACTTCAGTTTCAAACATAAATGACATAGGACCCTGAACAGAACTAGCTTTTGCATCCACAGGTTGATCAGGTAAAAGATTTGGTTCAACTGCACCATTTTTTCCGTCGGCTTCTTGTAAAGCTGCTCCTGGAAGAATATACAGAGCCAGTCCAGACTTATCTTCATCAAGAATAGCAAATTGATTTTCATTGGGGCCAATAAAAGCTGCATCGCAACCTATAAATTGAAAGGAAATATCATGAATAAATAATTTGGTTGAGGCACATACAACAAGAAAATAGCAGGTAAAACAGGCAAAACAAGCATGCTTAACAGACAGATATACCTTTGATTGTGTTTCCTTTGCTGTTAGCCAACTTTAAATCAGTATTTTCCCAGTAAAGGACTACTTCGTTTGTAGTGCCACTAAACTCATAAACAATGAGAAATAGATGCCGCTTCTTACCATAAACCATATGTTTAGGATAATATTCCACATTTCCTGGGATCTGGAAGCAAAACCTATTGTTAAGGATCACAGTCTTGTCATAGCATTAAAAAATTGTCTTTTTGAGCATTTACCGATGTGAAAAGTTTCTTGTAAATACTATCTGCTCCAGAACAAAGATTGTAAGCCATAAGGTTCACACCATCTACATAAAAAGCCCTGACAGGGTAATGAAGAACTCGGTTCTCCTTATTGAAGAAATTGAGCTCCAAATGAAATGGCTGCCAATAAAGTCAGCCACGTCAGAGAAATGTACAACATAGATATTGATGCATATTCAATATCACCAGCCAAGGTACCTGGCAAACAGGAATGTCCTTCAGTTGATTTTTTGCATCCACAATAGTGATGAGAGGCAGCCTAGATATAGGGGCAGTTTTAGCATGACCTTCCATGAAATGCTGCAATAATGAAGAAAGTAATGAGTTAAAAGTAAATCAAATAGTTAAGAGCTCTTGAAAATGCAGTAACATATATTTTAGAAATTAATATATAATAAGTAACTTGATTTGAAATGAATAAAGTTGGAAGAAGAAGAAGAAGCATACACTATAGAGGAATGCCTTCCGTGCAATGTCTGAAATTGTAAGATGACTTTGGCTGCCATGAAAGGGTCAAACAATTATGCATGATTACATAAACAACCCAAGATTGTATCATCAAATGCAATCATACCAAGGTAGGAATTTATCCACAATAATATGGAATAGCTGTAAATGTATGATCATTAATCCCATAATAATTAAACATTTCAACCTCCAAACTGAATGCATTTATCTGCACATCCAGATTTAAGTTCTAAACTCTAACTGTGCTTACAAAACCAGTAATTTTGCTTGAAAACAAACTTAACTCACCCCTTTATATGTTGCTCTTGCAGTTGTGCTTGAAGCTGATGATCAGCCAAAATTCCAGAGGAACCCATAGATGAGAGCTTATCCTTTAAGACAGATGCTGCAAATGAAATCAACTTTCAGCAATTATAGTCAAAGAATTAAGCAGGAGATCAGTGCAATCTATAATCATAGTGTGATATACAGAAAAATATAACGTAATGTAGAGATAAAACACAAAATGCATAAAGAGCTTTCCTTATTTTCTAATAAGAAAGATAAAACATTATCAACATAAAAACTGAGCAATTGTCTCAAGATAGTATGAATATAGATTCTGTAAAAGCAGTGCCCAAGAAAATAATACATTCGGTTCTGCTAAGATCACATTAATGAGGTATAACTTTGCACAAACTTGTGCCCTGTAGGAAATCAAATGCCATCCTATATTGAAAGAAACTGTTTCTACAATATACTATAGACCCTTCACACTTGACATCCAGGTATATTATGAAATTAGAGTGGCATAAATTATTTTAAAACAGAATATTTTCTTCATATGCAACAATGCACGTGTAGGAGGATTAATTAAACGTCCACCTGATGATCCCCTGGCACTTTGCAGAACTGCAAAGAGCTGTTTTCTTCCTTCCCTAGTGTAAGCAGCCCTATTCTTCAAGTTGTCACCACCAGTCATATTCTGTCATAGAAAATGCACATTTATACATCAGAAATTAAGAAATGGTTTATAATACAATGATAGAGGTGAGCGCTCTTAACTGCAAAAAGCAGAGCTGCTAAGTTCAATTTTGGGTGAACTTCCAAAGCTCTGATTCGTGGTAAGGGATAAACTGCTTCCCCACCCTGCTGAGACAGAATGCGTGGGATATCCAATGATTCAATTGCTGCAAAGAAAACACCAACAGAAGTATGTGATTTCCTTTTAAGATAAATATGCAAGTATCTCCTCCTCCTTCTCCTCCTTCCTTCCTTCCCAGAGAGTTTGTGTTTGTACTTACCAGCATGCTCAAAAAAATCCACTTGTGTCATAGGTTTATTTGGATTAACCGCCAATCGTGTTTTCCAAACTTGTAGAGTTCCATCCTTGGAGAGAATGACAAGTAAACGCAACATTGGTAGCCAAGCAACTGATATGATAGGTTGAGAACCCACCTGCTTACTGCATGGCAAAAACAGAATATTTCAACAGAGACATGCTTAGAATATCCTCTTCCACTCCCATCAACACACAGAACACATGGGCTTGAAAAAGAAGGAAAATATGTGATGAAAAAGGACAAAAAATACAAAAAATGCTTACATTCCAATCATAATCGGTCTTTCAGTTGATACATCCCACGCAAGAAGCATACCACGTCTATCACCAACAAAAATCCATTCCAGTGTTGGATGAAAAGCAAATGCACCAGCACCAATAAGCCTAATGGTATTATCAACTGAAAAAAACAAGGCACGAAAAGCAATATGATATTAAACCATGAATAATATAATAAAATTTATAAAAGTAAAAAATCATTTTTCCTCAACTTACGTTGTAGTGTATAATGAATCGCATAGGTATGAATGTTGTACGCACGAATTAGACCTTCTGCATATGCTACATACTTTTCTCCAGAAAGGAGGTGATAAGATCCAGAAAACAAACAGCTTTCAGTACATTCTTAATCATAAGAATGAAAAAGTTTATGTAGCAATGATACAATTACTGATAAGACATGTATATAAATCAGATTTTGGTATAATGGCTATCTGATTAGTTGGACATGTCACAACAGAAGATGGTGGCTACCTATTCAGATGATTTGAATAGAGCAGATTTATTATCGTTTGCAACATGAATTAATTTAATCTTTTGGAAATTCAGTTCCAGCCAAGAAGAAAAGATCCATTTCAACCTTTATTCCATCAGAATTAAATGTAACAAACATGTTCAGCACCAGCCACTTCAATACTACAGTACATATCTCATGTACATTAAATGATCAAGCCAAAAACCAAGAACAGATTAAAATTTCAAATTTCATGCCTATCCCAAGTAAATCCCAGCCAATGAAATCTGTAATGACTTTTAGCTCTACCCAGAACTAGATCTAAAGAAACCATGAACATCTCAAGCAAATTAATACATTTACAAAGCTATCAGATCAACAAAAGATAATATCAATGATAATAATAAAACTTATCCCAGGAAAATGACAAATGTACCAGAACAGGTAGTCGAGGATGACAAGCAAGATTCACAACAGGTTTCTTCAAGTCTGTCTTTATTTTTGTAGGTGCTCTCCCACCTTCAACAGTCCCAACAACTTCATACATGACAATAAAAGAATTAGAAGGACTATTATAACTTCCATAGTGTAATATGACGATGCAAGCACAAAAGAATTTCTAAAATTAGAAAACACAATGAGCAAACCAACCTGTTACACTCATTCTCTTGTGAAAACCAAAAAATACAACAGGTTGGAGAGGTGTCAAAGCTAGATGGACTTCTGTATCAGACGAAATGTGTTCCATCTTCTTTTCAGGTGAATGTAAAACACAAGTCTGCTCAGCATCAAAGTCACAAGAACGTATTGTACAATCCTGCAACATGAAATTTACAGAAAAATAAAGGTTATGATTAGCATAAGGGAACTTCATATAGAAGGGAACTAGACGATAAAAAATAAAAGCAAAACCATTCATGTTAAAACAGAAGGAGCTTAAAGATAACAACAACCATACTCATTATTGCATTGAATCAAAAGTTCACAGAAGGATATATTTCTTTCTTCAAAATGTAATATAATGCTCAAGCACAAATAAAAGTGATAAAGTCAGTTGTGACAGTAACCTTCAGGAAAACATCAAGAATGGTGCAATGGGATCTTAATGGTAATCTCAGAATAAAAAAAAAAAAAATCACCAAATTTGCTTCTCATTACATAGGTCAGACAATCTATATATCTAGATAGCCTGCTTGGCATCACCTTTCTAAAGACTTAAGTACAACCGCATAAACATACAACCCCTAGAATACCACTAGCGGAGATAGGTTCTAATAAACCATCTTAAGACAAACATATTTTGTTAATAATTGGAGATTGAAAGAAAATAAATATCTATTAAGTCAGCTATCTAAAAGATCAATGCCACACACTGAAAGAACACACCCTACTCTAAAATGCCTCTACAGTCATAGAAAAAATAAAATAAAATTATTTCCTCATTCCCGAGTAATTTACAAAGAAACCTGTGTAATGGCAGTAAAATCTTAAGATTGAACTAATATCAATCTTAGAATGCTGTGTCATCCACAATAACTGATTTAAAGATCGTATTAATACCAATCTTAATATGCGGTAATTCTATTCTCATGATAATTGAATGCAATTTCTTTTTTTTTTTTTTTTTGGGTAATGATCGAAGCTAAAAGATTCAAATTTCAGAACCAACCTCAAGAATGGCAATGACAGAGTGGCCACTTGTAGGACTGTAAGACATTCGAACCACTGGCGAGCCAATGTCTATAGTAGATAACTTACTTCCAGTTAAAGCATCAAATTCTGCAACCAAAAAAGATCCAATTGTTTTCTCCTTTTAAAGCAGATTCAACATCTAAATTATAAAAAATTTCCAAAACCTATCCAAATTCTAAAAATTGACAAAGGTTGTATTGTAGATGGTATTACCGATGATATAACTGCCGATGGCGGCGGAAACTAGAGCCTGAGTAGGATGAAAAGCGGCGGCGTGTGGCTGCAACGGTTTGAGAATGCCTCGAGCGACATGGCGTAGATCCAAGTGTTGCAACGTGGTCCACTCCATCGATTCTTCCTTTCAACTCTTTCTATCTCTCTCACCTTATAAAATATAAACCCATTACAAAGTAAAGCTACTCTTTAAAATCTAAGCAAAAAAAAGGCAAAATTTAGAATCAAAATTTGGGATTGGAAAACGAAAATCAGAAAGACGCGGATCTGATCTGAACTGCAACTTGGGAAGTGAAGGGAATTTTGAAGTCCATTTTTTACCTTATTTTTTACATGAAAAGAGAGTTTATCTGGAAAATTTTTCCAGAGAGAAATGAGAAGAAACGATGATCGATATTAAAAAAAAAAAAAAACGAAGATTGACGACATTGAAGAGAAAATTTTGGCAGCGCAAAAAGAGATTTGGGTCTTACTTTCATTTGCCCATTGTAAGATGCATGTCGGTTTAAGCTTGGGCTGACCAATTTTGGATTAAGGGGCTTTGGGCCTTACTATCATTAGCCCGTTACCCAATTCATGTCCGCTTAAATTATTTAATAGGTTTAGCCCATTTTGGGGATATTTGGGCCACGGGAGCTTTATTCGTTTTGATTCTTGAATGACTCACAAAAAGAGGAAAGGAAAAAGGGTTTTTCCTTGATGGGCTAAGATTGATATTTAGACATTTTTCAATAATTCACGTAAAAAAAAAAAATTAAGGAGATGTATAACATTATTTTATTTGAGACATTTTCGTGCAAATTTATTGTTGACAAAACTCATTACATTCAGTTAGTTGTCATCTTTGAAAGATTGGTGTGGGAAAATAGGGGCCCATCCATCTCATCCACCTCTAAAGATGAAAGAAATAATGCCATACAAGAATTTTTTTTATATATAATCTAATCATTCGGTTAATGTTGAGGCAATTCTCTTGTAACATATGACATAGATTGCTAATCATCATAAACCTTACATTCATGATCGCCACCAGGCATCACTGCCAAGGCCAAGGCCACCAATTGTCATCATTGGAAAATTGACTCCAGGTTCTTCCCCAAGGATGAAGCTTTATCCAAAGCCACAAACCTGAGGCTTATTGAGGACTGAAACCCGCCGGAAGGGCTCCCTGCTATCCAAGTTCAGCCACAGATTAGTTCCCCATGGTATGGGCCATATAACAAGTTGAATATAAGTAGTTAATAGCTATTGAAAGCTGTATTTAAAGCTGCGTTTGTCTTCATTAGATCAGAGCTCAATCCAAATTCTCCATCACTTTGGATTTCTTGGACGATACTGAGGCAAAAGACACCTTTAATAAAGCAGGATATTAGTGGAATTGAATTTAATGAAATTGACCAAACGCCATTTTTTTTCTTGATGGGGGAAAAGCATCCAAGTTGCCTATTCGATCATGAAAATGACCACTGTCTTCTTTCCGTGGTTTAAACTTTCAACCAAATGTGTTAGGTTAATTTTCACAGCTTTTCCTAACCTGTAACCTGTTGATTAAGCATGCGTAACAAGAGTAATTTATGTTACTCAAATTCGGAGATTATTGTATTTAGTATGTGTCCGACATGGATACGTGTAATTTTTTTTTATTTTTTTCATATATTTAAGGGTGAGAAATTCAAAGAAAGAAAGTTTAGAATAACATAAGGAATAACATTGTCAATACAAAACTGTAACATGTTTGAAAGATAATTATTAGGTCAAAAATCTATTTGATCTATTGAGTTCAAATATGGACATGCTTTTATGACATCCATTGAATCAATTATCAATCACTCGATGTGTTCAATGTCTTTTTTTTTTTGTTACGTTAGGAGGGCAAATCTCTAGTATAAGTAAAGAGAAAGGGGAGGTTTGGTTCAAAACCATGCCCTTTGATATCCCTTCAAACATGCTTAACCACTAGGCTAAAGGTTTAGAAATGATACGTCCAACGTCATAGTCATATATTCAAGTATAATCGACAAGCAATCAACCCTAAAGAAAACAAAAAGAATGGAAGGCATTGGAAGATATGCTAGGGCCGGGAAACATAAGCCACATAATTAGACTGGCTCATTGTCAGGAATGGATATTGGATTGAAAGGTTTAATTTGAAGAAGAATAGACTTAACTGAGCTAGCTAATAATAAATCGAGGAGAAAGATCTAGATACTCAAAACTCATGTGCCATTGATGAATAGGGTCTTTACAGGGTTAGTTCAAAAAGTTTTGAGATACGACTTCCATTTGCTGGACCCATATTTAATGATTGAAAATTTTTTGGCACATAAAAGTTTAGAGTGACGGTTGGTTTTTTTATTCTAGAATCAGAATAGATCACAAATATTAAAGAGAATTTATATTAAATTTACAAATCGGTTGAATATTATAGGGATTACATATATTTAAAAAAGATTTAGATGATATTTTTTAAATAAAATTTGTAAAGTTTTTTATTAAAAATAATTAAATTAAAATTAAAAATTAAAACTGACAAATTAAAAAATCTTGTTGCATTAAATGTATAAATTTTTAAGAAAAATTAATAAAATTTGATATATTTTTTAGATAATTATTTTTAATAAAAAATTTAATAAAAATTTTTCATTAAATGGGTATTCATCGATTTTAAATTACAGGTGATCTTTTTAATATTTTTACATATTTTTAATATTTTTATTAATTTTTATCAATCAAGATTTAAAATTTTTATTAAAATTTTAATTAAATCATTTATATTAATGAACTTCACTAATATCAATTATAAAACTTTATTTAACTTTTTCTCATGAATATATATATATATATATATATATATATATATATATCGTCGCTTTACACTTATGCAAGAACCATGAAATTGTCTAGCTGGCGTCCTTATCTAGGATAAGAGCTCTAGCTAGGTAGCTTACTTGGGGAAGATGCAAAGAGAAAATTGATAGTATAGGTTATGGGATTGGGATTCTTTCATACGTTAGAGGAATCCTAGGTCTCAAAAAATGAGTAGCGAATATATGCTATTCTAGTCCATAAAAGTGGGGCTGGTGGGGGCTGTCGGCAGGAGTAGATTCCTCGTCTCGTTGCATGATTGGAAACGCACATAACTCAAGTAAATTCAAGTTTTTTTTGTTTTATTTTTTGTGTTTGGTAATGAGGTATCCAGGCACCTTCTAAAGCTAGGTGGCTTTAGATATGGCATTGAAGGCAATTTCCAATAGCGTTTTTTTTTTTTTTTTAGTATTTTGATCATTGATTCTCTAAACTAACGGAGGGAGCTTGGAAGTCGGTTTATTCTATAGATGTGGCCTCTCTAAATTCTGAAATTAACCCCTCCGGAGGTTGACCTGAAAATATGCTCGGGCTTGTGCACTTGGCAGTTGGCGCTGTGAAGAGAAAAGATCGACTTGGCATTAGGCTCTGAACTTTCCATGTGCCGAAGTCGTAGAAAAGCCCAATAGGACCGTCCAAGCACTTTTTTTTTTTACCTACCAAAAGGAAATGAAGCTAATGAAAACTAACTGATGCTATGCATTCCTTCTTCACAAGATCAACTGGCAAGAATTTACTGGCCAGGAATCAGGGAGGGGTGGTGCACATGTGATGTCCCCATGCTAATCATCTCAAACAATTTGCCAAGGCAATGTAAATCATATGGATATGGTATCTCTCCGTACCAAGACAAGAAGCAAAACGGGTCCTACACAGTACAAAAACAATTAAAAATCTGAAGGAAACTAGTTCTTTTGTAATACTGTTTTATAAAAACGGAGAAAAGTATGTAGTTTCCTAGTGTGAGTGTGAAGGGCCAGGAGACCAGGAACAAACCTACCCTCTGGAAAAACATTTGAGTATTGCCATTAACTTTTTCTTCTATTTTGGGGACAATTTCCTAGAAAGAGAAGGAAAATCTTGGCCCTATTTAAACTTTTCTGGATTGACCAGTCCTTTGAACATGTAGGAGGTTGGAAGACTCTAAAAATTGTCATTACTTATAAAAAGGGCAAAGGCTAAACAGTTTAATATTGAACATGATCATTTTTAACCCTGAACAGCAGGGTGGAGATGGGATTATATCTAGCTGGCTGCTGGCATTTGCTACCCTGGCCTGTTAGTCTCTTACAATTAGGTAAAGCTTTAACTAGCTAACCCAACACTCTTTAGGCATATGGATCAATGACCCTTGATGTTAATATAACAAGCGTACTTCCTCGAAAAGCATGAAAAATGACATATTACCAACCAAGCAAAGTTTTCAGACAGAGTCATCATGATTCAGGATTAACCACTAGAATTCAGAGATTCATCATTCCAAATATGATGATTGAGTGAGAAAGGAAATAAAATGGTGGGGTTACATAAAAGGGAGGCAAGACTCTTAAATGTAAGAGAGGTTTAAGGCAAAGTGCCGCTCACTATGGAGGCAATGACTTAGACAGCTGAAGGAGCAGCTTGTAAACCACAGTCCCATCTGCTTTCTCATTTTCCTTTGAAATAATTAGGTCCCTTATTTCTTCTGGACAAGGAAAATTGAACAAGAATCAAACACTATAAAACTATTGCTGTTTGCTGCTTCCGCTGCAGCTGTTCTTATCTAGTTTTTATCTCCTTGTCCCCCAAGATTTGCTAAAGATGCGCAGCATGGCAAGCTCCACCTCCACCAAAGGCATCGCCGCCATTGTAGGCGTCGGACCTAAGCTTGGACGATCCATTGCCCGCAAGTTTGCTCATGAAGGATATACGGTTGCCATCCTCGCCCGGGACTTAGGTACCCTCTTTTCTTTTGCTTTAAGAAGTTTCTCTTTCTCTTTTTCTTTTTCTCTTTTATCCATTATCACTCTTTCAAGTGGTAATTAGTACTGCTACTGGATTATATGTTTTCAGGAAGATTGTCAAGATTTGCAGATGAGATAGCCAGGGAAGAGAAAGCCCAAGTGTTTGCAATCAGAATAGACTGCTCGGATTCTAGAAGTGTTAGGGAAGCATTTGAAGGGGTTCTCTCACTAGGATTTGTAGAAGTTCTGGTGTACAATGCCTATCAGCCAGTTTCATGGCACCCCACAAACTTCACTGACATTAAAATCGATTCTTTTGAGAAATCTCTTGCTGTATCCTCCCTTGGTGCTTTCCTTTGCGCTCAACAGGTTCCCCTTCTAATTTCCCATCGCTCTCCAAACAGAAAAATCTCCAATCCATGTATGAAGTCCATAGACTATTGAGTGAAACCAGGAATGAATTTTATCTTTTGCTTTTGTCTTGTTAGATTTCAGCTGCTTTTATTGTTCCATTGGTTTAATTCTTTATCAAAATTTTTTGAAGGAATTTCACCTTTGTTTTACTATGCTAATTAATGAAAGGTACTTCCCGGGATGGTGGAAAGAGGAAGAGGAACGATTCTCTTCACTGGCTGCTCAGCTTCACTCAATGGCATTGCTGGTTTCTCTGAACTATGTAAACTTTCAATCTTTCACATATTAAAACATATCAGTAATTAGAAATTTACCAAACCCAACTTCAAAAAAAAAGAAAAAAGAGAGAGAATAATTTAGTTATACTTTCTTGTAAATGGAACAGGCTGTGGAAAGTTTGCCCTGAGAGCATTATCCCAATGCCTGGCTAGAGAGTTCCAGCCTCTTGGTGTCCATGTTGCCCATATTATCATTGATGGAGTCATTGGTCAACCCAGGTAAAAAATTCTCGATGAATCCTATCCCATATTCATGGACCAGATAAAATCTCCAAATTATAGTAAACTAAAAAGTGGTTATAATCCATGGATATAATACAAATGAAAAGTCTGTGCAATGAAGAGGTGATGATGGTTACTGGAAATAGATGATGAATGATGAGCAATAAATGTAAAATGGAAATGCAGGGGGCCATCGGCAACGCTGAGAGGGTTAGTTGGGGAGCAACAGCAAAGCGGCGTGGGAGGGGAAGGGGCCGTGATGATGATGATGGACCCTGACGCGTTGGCTCAGACCTACTGGCACCTGCATGTTCAAGACCGGACCGCTTGGACCCAAGAGATTGACCTCCGTCCCTCTGTCACCAGATTCTGTTAGCCATAGTCATTCCCTCTCTCTTTCTCTTCCTATATCTTCCCATTTGCTCAAATCATTCGCAAGTTCCACTATCATTATCATATCTTCAATAGTTTTCATTTCTAGTACACTGTTTGATGCTTTAGAGATGTTCTTGGCATCAATGGCTATTCATTTGGATTTGAAAGTGTCAATGGAAATCGCAAAAGCATTTCAAAATTTTCTATGTAAATCGTTTGAAAAGTATAAATATATCATTATTTATAATTTGAGTGTGTAACTTGTATTAAAATTTTAATTTTAGTGATCAAAGTTAAATTATTATCTTCAAATAAAAAGTATTAATTTATTATTAATCTTTTAGATATCATATAGTAACTTTTAGAAAAATTATAAAATATATCATTACTAAATTTTAAAATTTCACAAAAAAAATTGACGGATTACCATATACTTCATTAAAAAATATTTTAAAAATAAATAAATAAATAAATAAATATATAACATAGCAATATTTTAACTTTGATGTTTAAAATTAATTAATATGATAGAATATTACCCTATTTTTCACAAATGAATACTAATGTATTATTTATTAATCTTTTAGATATGATAGAGTAACTTTTAGAACAATTATCAGATATGTCATTACAAAATTTTTAAAATTTCATAAATAAAGATAACTGATTATTATTTAAATTTCATTTTAATAGTAAGAGATCATAATTAAGTACATAAATGTGGGGATGTGTTTTCATACACTCCATTAATTAAGAAAAATGTTTCATTATTTTAAACAATTAGACGTGAAAAGATAGATTATGTCATATAATATTTACAATAATTAATATATATAGAATTTTTATTTAATATATTATCAATATATAAATTTTATATACAATAAGTGAATGATATTTTATTAATGTATAAATATTAATTTTTAAAATAAATATAAAGTATTAATATTTTTTTAAAAAAATTATTTATTAATGAAGTATTATTATTTAATTTATCTTATTAATAGAGTGACATAATTTAATTTATTGATAATATATAAAACTTATATATTAATAATATTATAAATATAAACCTAGTACATGTACAAACAAACGTATATAATTTTTTTTTTGTTAGTATGAAAACAGAAACTCCTTTTAATCTAGACGTAAACATTATTTTCTTCATTTTATTCAAAAAAAAAAAAAATTATCACAAAGAGTAGAATAGAAATCTGTGGAATTTAGTGGAAGCCACGCATGGTCCACAACATAAAAGTTGAGGTGTTTGATGGAAGAGTTGCATGGATAAAATTATGACTTCGTGTTCTAATCGAGGACACACAAGAAAAAGAAAAACTGTTTCTTTTCAACTTTGAATCTGAAACTTTTGCCCAATTCTTCATCTCTTAATTTTGCTTCAATCATCAATCATTTGAGGAGCCATCACTCGTGGGGTCTGGGTCTATCATCGTCTAGAACTGATAGGAATCTGACATTCATTTTTAGGGGGAGGGGTGACGCAAGGAAGGGCACCCCACACTTAGTCTATTCACAAAAAGATGGGTTTTGGGTTTTAATTAGGAAGATGATTAAGAGGTTAATGATGGTTAAGGGTGACCGATGGCCATAAGTAGACCGTTAGGCTTCTAATTTTTGGGTCAAGTTAGTGGATAGGTCGGTTCTTCTAACAGTGATACGGGCCAAAACGGACAAATTATGTGTGGCCCGTCATAATAATTGGCTTTCGTCTTTTCGTACAAAAATAAAGAAAAGGAGAAATCACTTTCCTCAGAGATTAATCCAGAGAATAAAACAAGAGGAATAAGAAAAATAATCAATCATGGAATTTTTAAACTCTACGAGGGTAACTCATTTTCTTTATGATATATTAAATAAATAAAAAATAAGATAAGTATTAATTTTTTAATGTTGTGAAATTAAATTTTCATATTATATTATAAAAAAATTAATTTAAAGCAAAGAACAGTACTAAGGTATTATTCTAACATGATTTTTTTTTTTCATTTGAAGAAGATTCGAATTTTATTTTTTAAGTAAAAAATCGTACACGAATCGATTGGGCCAAATGTTTTCTAAGAAAGGAAACAAAAGGGCCAAGATTAACAGGATCGCCACTCATTTGAATTCCTCTTTTACACGCCCAAGTCTCATTCTTATGAAACATATAGTGATATAACATTTGTTTCCTCTGCAACAACATTCAAACATGAATCGTGAAAAATGGGAAAAGAAATGACATCTACCTTGCCGAGGGAATAAGACCACAAGCACAATGGAGAGTCTTGTGAACTCCAGGCTACCATGTGGCAAAAGAAATGCCAAAAATTATACGGGAAAGTGCATGGTCAATTATTTCTGGAGCTGTGCAAAAGCCTGTCAGTTCAAGGTAATTACATGTTGACAGCGTCAGAATAGCTTATGGTGGTAGAAGAAATGTTAAGACCTGGGAGGCACTAGCTTGGCCATTGGCTTGCATTATCCCGGGACACGTGTTTCAAAGGCTATCATTAACAGTTGATATCAATTCTAAGGACAGGAAATGGGAGGGGAAGGAAAGGAGGAATGAATATAAGGAAACTTGCTCTTCCCTACAATTGTTTGGTGATTGCCATTTGATCCATTTCCAGATGATGTTGCCCTAATGAGTACCTAGTGTTTGCACGAATAAGAGCTAACTGCTATGAAATTTCAAAACTATTATATTCATCAAAGACTTATTGTTGTTCGGTGTAGATCAACCCTCAATCCAATAAATCCTCACATATACCACTGAATTTTTACCAGAAAACACAATTTGGTACACAGCTACATATGATCCAGAAACTAAATACCGTAAAATATTAACAGAAAACAATTCTAGAAATATAGCCAGAGTACCAAAAGTGCACAAATATATCATCTGAGAATTTCAAGCAAAGAATTGCATGTAAAACCTTACTACCATTTCATTTAAGAGAATGAAAAGTGCAGAAGATATTCCTTTTCCTATCTATCTGGATGATTTCCATACGGAGAAAATCCTGATATCCTTATGAAAACTGAGTGAAAATAATTTTTCCTCCATTTATATGCCTCTACTCCAGAAGGCAATTGATATTACAACAGCCTGCCAACATACATTCATTAAATCTGGAGACTGGACCAAATTCCTTCATCTATTGCAAAAGCCAGGATTTGAGTTGGGACAGTGAGTGTAATTGTGATGGTTGAACCCCTGGTACTGTGAAGCAGGTATTGTCCATAGATCTATATAAGGTCTGAAAGGCAATGATCTTACCATTGTTGAAGTGGATCCCATATCATAGCTGGTGAACTGGGGTGATGCACTCCGTTGGTGAAAGTTTGTTTGAGATTGATAAGAGTTTAGGACAGGACCAGCATATGAATGTTGACTGGCACCTATGTCTTCAGTGAGATGAACAGGTTTTTTATGACTATAACAAGTATTAGAGATTCTTAACCTTGAGTTTTGCTTCTTCATACCAGCATATGAATGACGAGTGAAACCTATAACTTCAGTGAGATGAACAGGCTTTTGATGACTATAAGAAGTATTAGAGACTCTTAACCTTGAGTTCTGATTCTTCATACCGGCAAATGAATTCGCTTGGTAATTGTTACTGATATTTGCACACCTTGGAATAGAGGCTTTTCCTCGTGCGTTATCAATCTTTCCCCTTTCCGGTTCAGTTGCTTTTCTCTTTTTTGAAGGTCTTGATTGATGTAAATGCTTTTGGTGTTTTGTACCTAATTATAATCAGAGAAGAAACATGTGATGTAAAATTCGAGTGCTCAATAGTCAAGAGAAATGGAATTCAACGAAACATATTTTGCTTTCACCATCTCGCTCTCCTACATACCAATTGTAGACCACTTCCTCGTCTCTTTCATTGCTTTCACCAGTCTTGCTGCTTTGCCTCGTCTGTGCTTCTCAGCAAGAACATTTCTTCTTTCAGCCTCACTACTCCACCGCTGATGTAGACAAGAAAGTATAAACAAAACAAACTTATCAATGGTATTACCTGAAAAATGTCAATTTCCAGCCAAAAACATACCTGTCTGTATGTTTTCAATTTATAAAGGTTACGACCCTTTACAAGCAGAGGAAATAGTGGGGGAAATTTCTTAGTCCCCTTGCTCCATAAAACTTCAACCTAATACACCAAAAACATGGAACTGGTAGATACTGTCATCAAGTGCGCAAACAATCACTGAAAAAAAATTATGGAAAATGCAGGAAAGGAAAAATTTGTCATCTATCACCAACTATCACTCAGATTGCTAAAATCAACCCTTTTTAAACATATATTTGTTTTAGAAACCAAAAATGTATACCACTTCGCACTTACTGGACTTATAACTTTCTTCCTGACATAAGATAAAGTGTTGGAATTACCGTAAATGTATGTTGTTGTTTGGCTTTGCCATAGCTTTCTTTAACAACCCTTCCAGCAACAGTTCTGCTACCCAGAAGTCTCCCATGCCTTTTCACTTTATTGAACCTGTTTAAAATCCAAACCTCAATTTACATAGCCCCAAAGAATACAAGGAAATGTAAGACAAGAAATAGAGTACTGAAATGAAAGAGACTCCAAAAGATAGCTCGGATAACGGATTACTTCTCATAAACCTTCTGCGTAAACAAAACAACATCTCCTTTACAAACATCCCCTACATTTTAAGTTGAAAAGATCCAATTATTCACTTAAAATACAGAAAAATTATTGGAAACGAAAAGAAGGGGCCAAAGAAAAGGCAATTTTACCAGTACAATTAATAGAAAAGGATGACCTGGGATAAAAGCCTTCAGCTTTCCCGTCTTTTATTCTGAGAAACAAAGAGAGAAAAGGAAATGTTGCTAATTCCCAAAATGAACAGCTACTCATGTTTCAAAGTTTTTAGAGATTTATTGCAATATGGAAACATAAAATCAAACGCAATTTCTACAAAATGGTAAAATAAAATGTGAAGAAATTACCTCCAATGCTCGAGGATTCTCTGTTGGCACACTGCCTTAGTGCCTGTGATTCGGAGGCCACGAATTCGCAAATAAGCTTTGCATTGTTTCAAGCTTAAGCTTTCTAATTCACCTCCCTCTATGGAATACACGGATCATAAATTGTAAGGATATTTGTTGGATCACATGCAATCTTCATTTAAAAAAAAAAAAAAAAAAACCTAAATTCTAAGAAGGGAAAAATGACCTTTGAGAAGAGCGATGACAAGATTGCAGAGAGACTCGTCGTTCTCAGTCCGATCATTATCGTCCGAATCGCTCCCTTCCTCTTCCACTTCTTCTTCTTCTTCAATTTCATCTCCACTGGTGACAAAAAATTAAATCAAAAGAAAAGGAAGAAGAACAAACCCAAAGTTATTGAAATGGAAATAGTAATATAAATACCTGGAACTGGAAAAACTGTTATTCTCGTCATAATCATCATCTTCTTCTTCTGTTTCTAGTTCGTCTTCCTCCTCAGAAGAAGAAAGGGAAATCAAATTACGTTTGGCTTTTCCTTTCGAGTCAGCCATGTGATTGAATTCCAACGGAAGACCGAAATTTATGACTTCAAACTCAAATCACATTTCTTATTAGTTTTTTTTTTTTTTTGCTGAGAACACTGCCAACACTGGCCCAACACTAAGACACCATTTAAGCCCAATTATAGCCCATTATTAGATGGTCCACAAGTTCGAAATGCTTGTGGGCTTCCAACTTTAATTCCATTCTATTTTTTCCGATTTCTAGCATTTACTCAGAAAAATTCAGTTTAACCTGATTAGCATTCTGGGAACTTCTACAGTTGAAAAATCTACCCATCAGGATTGACCATATTTGTTAGCCTTTTGAATTGTTTTGTGTCTTTGATTCCATTAATAAATATAAGACTGGTTTTGCCACTTCAATTTTTGTAATCCTACTACACCACCTGGATCAACCTGTTGAATCTTGGATTAGCTAGTTTCTGGCTTTGGGCAGTTACGAAAAGCAAACAAGAAACTGAGAAGATTGGTTTAAAGACAGAAGGGTTTAGGGGCAACAACTTTTGATTACAAATTATAGAACACAGAAGATGATGATACAACAGCAAATCTTGGTCTCACGAGGCTAGTCGAAATATGTCAGATTATCAATCTCTTGTAACCAGTTAGAGAAATATTCTCACCGGCAATTGAACACATTTTTTAAGCTACAACTTTACAGTGGAAAAACATAAAATGCCTAAGGATTTGTCAATGTTAAGTTGCACTCGCAGGAGGTTCATGGCTTCAATCATGTGTTTTTATAAGCTTGTGCCAGACAAATGAAATAGCCAAAACCAGAGCGCTTGGGGGCCGTTGTTGATTGCGATGGCAAATTCACTCTACCTCTATCATATTCAGGCTAGCCAAGACCTCACCTGATTCACTTTTTAGGCAAAACAGCTCAGGAAAGACGCATTTCTTGCAGCTCTTTCAGAAGTTTTACAACTTCTATTGAGCTTTTGCAAGGATTCGGCTGGATACACCATGCAATAATTTCACAAAACCAAGAAAACTCAGCTTCCCATCAGTGTGCCTAATCCAGTCATGAAGGACAGCGTGAACCGGCAGGGATGGACCTAGTCCAAGTTCCTGAAAAGTTGTTGTAAAAATGCTAGAGATTAGTCTAGGATTCTGTTGCTTCACAGTCTACAAGCATCCCAAAAAAGTAAAACAAAAGAAAGAAATTTAACTTCACTGCTCAAGAAAATAACAAGAAATCTCAGGAAAAAGAAGCTATGATAATAAATATCATCGTCAATTGTAGTTGAGAACATTTTCAACAAATAAAATAGATCACACAATAACTCCACAATTTCGCAACAAACATTTTAGAGATCACACAACTCTCTTAATTACAATTGATGATGACGAGCAAAAAAGTAAAATTTTTTAATCTTTTATCTCAACATTATTCATTCTCTCCCTTCTTCAATATTCTTAGCAATGCTGGTGTCTTATGTTGCACAAGAATGAGAAGGACCATAATAAAAGGAGGATGATGCCAACAAGTCCATGTGAAGAGATGATAATAGATACATTAAAGTCCTAGCGCAAATCATTGTGTCAAACATGTGAAAATTGATGTCTAATTCTTGCAAAGGGCCAAAACATAAATGTCATAAATACAGCTTATTAAGTTTTCTATGCCTGTCAACCTACCCACATCATCTTCTATATAATGTGAAAAATGGTAATAATAGGAATTAATAATCATCCAAATGGAGCATAGATGCATAAAGTCTCCAGGGTCAAGCAAGAGAACATCAACATACCGAAGCTAGCTCTTCAATGACAATAGCTCTGTTTCCATCCTTCTCAAAAAGTTCATAAGCACAACGAGCATGTTGTTCCCACCGATCCAGTGCCTCCAGCTGATGAACACTTAAAGCAGCTGCACAGAATTCATCAAAGTCCATCCGTCTGTATTGAAGTACATTTAGCTACCACAAAAGGAAAAAGTGTACAAAATTAGAGATTCAGACCAGCACTGGAATTTTATATAGATTGCCACACCAATCAAAAACAGAAGAAGCACCTACTGATGCTAGAAATTCAGGAATGCGAGAATCTTTCATAGCATCTGTTGCACTTTTCATCAGAGCCTGATCAGAGCAAGAGCATTAGATGATTATTCAAAAGAAAACTGCTCAAAATTTATTAAGATTATGGGACAAAACACAAACCACTTTAATGTTTTCTAAGCTTATAGTGCCATTTTTGTTTGGTTCCAATAGTGCAAACTGCTCCTTCAAGTAAAATAGCTCATCCACAGTCAAGGTTTTAGACAAAGCCTGCAAAAATACCAATGAAAAGAGAAATAAGCATATTGAACAATACAGGAGCTAGCAATCCCATTCAGAAAGAGGAAAAAGATTGCACTATTAAAATGGGAAACCTATTATGGTAAACTGGAGGAGGCTTCAAGCAATAGAAACCTCTAACCGTAGTAAGATAAGCAATTCAACATATGGGAGCACTTGTTTTCTGAAAAATAATTCACTGAAGTCAAATGGAAGCATTTATTTCTAAGTACACTCTCACTTCACAATGGAAACAGGTACAAACTGTTTCTGTGTTTCATGACCATATGCTTAAACAAAGTTAAGTTACACTTTTTTTACCTTGGATAATTATTTAGCTCCAACACAGAAGCTACTACTTGGTTCACACATTCAGGCTCAAATTGTTAGCAGCTTTAAAGTAAATTGATTTTATGTTTATAACTGAATCATACACCACTTATGTTGGCCACCTAAAGCAACTTTCTAAAGTTGGCCCCAGATTCACCTAAGTTGTTCTGGCCGAAAGCTTCCCAAACCATGCCTAAGAAAGAAAACACATCAAAAGAGATTTGTTTTCTACACGCTTGCATGATACCCACTAAGACTTAGATATAGAGAATAATGTTGATATGTATTGCCATATACACACCCTTAATGCAGCTTTCCGAAGAGATGAAGAGCGGATGTAAGCCTTCATGAGTTTGAATATCAGTATATCCAAGGGCACTTTCACGTCATTATCGTATTTTATCCAGGGATGACCTGCAGAAAACAACTGTGACTAAAATTTCAAGAATATAAGAATCATGAGCTTATGACAGAAGATTAGGCACTCACTCAAGGCTTGGGCAGCAGTCAATCTTTTCCTTGGATCCTTATTCAGTAATCGCTTCACAAAATCCCTAGCCTCAGAAGATAGAGATGGCCAAGGCGCTTCATCAAAACTTGGATCAGCTTTTAGAACAGCTCGAAAAATCCCAGACTCTGTTCGGGCCCAAAATGGACGACTACCGCACAACAGAATATAAGCTATCACACCTATACTCCAGACATCTGCTTCTGTACTGTACGACCTATGTAAAACTTCTGGTGCTACATAGTATGCACTACCAACAATGTCATTAAGCCTTTCATCTGCAAATGGAAAAGACAAGGAAAACATTAACAAATTAATCAAATAACTAAAGCAGTATAGCTTAAGCAATAGGAATGTAAGTACAAACCTGGTTTTACAAAATCTGACAAGCCAAAGTCTATGGCCTTCAATTGTGAATTTTCATCCTTTGACGTAAACAAGAAATTCTGATCCAGAAAATAGCTAAACTTAGAACACTATCAGGTTGGCAAAGTTTTTGATATAAAACTATTAAAACTTTCTTCTGCTAAGAAGATTAAAATGCAATATACAAGAATGAAGCACAACTAATAAAATAAGCAGTATTTTACTGGTTAGGCATAGGTGCTTGTTCTTGATCATTATTTAGCCCAAGGTTAACCTCAAGGAAAACCCTTACATAGACCTCAGATATCTTATATTGGACCCCAAAACCAGTGTAATACAACTCAATAAACAATATCAGAAATCTGATTAAAACTGGAAATATATTCACCTCGGGTTTAAGATCCCGATGCACAACACCCTGGAGATGGCAAAAGGCAACAACATTAAGTATCTGAATCATCACAGCTTTTGCATCATCCTCAGTGTATTTTCCACCCCTGCATGAATAGAAGCAAACATTTTATAAGTAATCAAATCCTAAGCTCATCATCCTCAATCTACTACATTTTCCCAGTCAATATAATACAGGACTCTGACGCAGGTATTATCAGAAAAAAAATACCTTGAAAGAATTCTGTCCAAGAGCTCCCCTCCTTCACATAATCTGAAAGATGCATGTTAACTTATTAGAACCCATTGCAAAAGACGCATGTGATCATCATCAAACCAAAACACACCAAACACAAAATCAATTCATGTTTTTCATATGATACTTACTCCATTACTATGTAGACATTATCGTGGTCCTCATATGCGTCGTAGAATTGTACTAAATTGCTATGTCGAGACAGAGCTCTTAATATTTTTACCTCCCTTCTTACATCCTCAATGGCAATTGCTGTGGTCATCTGTCAACAAAAAACAAAATCAACAATCATAACATGTCAGTTCAAGGCACAAAAAATTAAGAAATAACAATTGTAGAAGACGCTGCATTCGAAACATAACTCTGTGAGTATACATATTTAATTTTGAGTTATGATCATTTCTAAACTCTGTTAAAAAATTTCAGTAAATTCAACATTTAAATTTATTTTCTAATTCGAGTAAATATAAAAATCAAATCCACGTACTTCTCAACAAATCTCGATTCTTCAATGTCAAAGGTTTTCAACCAAATCAATATATACAAAAAGGCAAATTTTCAAATAATTAAAATAAATAAAATATTTTAAAAATTAAAACGAAACCTTCGCTTTAGGTATAACTTTAACGGCAACTTGCTGTCCTTTAAGCTCTCCTTTCTTAAACTTCGCCGCACAAGTATAACCGAAATGGCCTCTTCCTACCTCGTCTCCGAGCTCATATTTGCTCCCGAAGTGCTTTGAGAACCCGAAGCTCTTATCCAGTCCAGTTCCGGCGGCTCCTGCAGCGTCAGCCGCCTCCGCCTCGCTTCCTTCCGGAATCGCGGCCTCATTCGGCTTCACAGACCCATGCCTCCGCGCAAGCACTGCCCTAATGTGCTTCGCCGGAGACGGCGGCGGGAACGGCCTCC